AAGATTAAAGATAGGAGAGAGACCTGGAGCGCACAGCCTCTAGCGACAGCTTCATCTGCGTTAAGCGTGGTACTGATGTCTTTACCGAAAAACTTCCAGATTCTCTCTTTGATGGCCGGGCTTCTCGTGGCTCCTCCAACTATCTCCACTGCATAAATATCATCCCGGCTCAGCTCTGAACGGGACAAACACACACAGAACCGAGTGTATTCTTCCAATATGTAGCATTCAAACAATATGCATTCATAAATTTAACCAGATTTTAGGGAAGTACTTGATTGTTCAAGAGCTGTTTTCAGCGGCGTCTCTATTCTCATCAGGTATTGAGAGCACATGTCTTCAAACTGGCCCCTGTGGGTTACAAAATTGGAAGAAAAATGTAAATAATACTGGATATCCTCTTTAATCAGGAGTGATTAATGAGAAAAAAGAACATGTACCTGTTCATCCTGCTTGTAACATCAATGTCATTCATGAAGCACTCTATGTTCAGAGGCAGGTCAGAGGAGTTAGCGCTCATCAGCTTCTTCAGTTTCTCGCACTCCTGGTGCAGCCGCAGCAGAGCCCTCGGGTTCTCCCTCACGTTGAGCTTGTACTTCACCTTAAACTCCTCACAGAAGTAATCGACCAACGCTTCATCAAAATTGCGCCCACCGAGGTATGGATCAAACGCAGTGGCCAAGACCTGACAGAGCAGATTTGACATTGAGCCTTTTGGGTTCAAAGGCACCGGGTGTAGCTGTGGGTGGCGATGTAAAAAGGTTAAAAAGGCTAACCTTGAGTTTGCCTTTGTTGAAGGCAGTGATGGAGACCTGGAACGATGAATGTCCGATGTCCACAAATACCACATTTCTTGGCCTCTCTTCTGGAGTGGGGAGGTCCTGTTTGTAGATCCCGTAGGCCAAAGCCACTGTTTAGAAGAAAGACATCTACAGTCAGACATATACAAGATATATGTTATTTAATCTACTTATAAAAGTAAAGTGTAAAATCACATTTTACCACATTTTCAGCCCCTTACCCAAGGTTAGTGTCAAACAAAAAAGCATTTGTATTTTTCTTAGGAAATCTGACCTGCAGTTGTGTCATTAATTAGCCGTAAACAGTTGAGCCCTGCGATTAGAGTTGCATCTAACACAGACCGTCTTTCAGCATCAGTGAAAAAACCTGGGACCTGTAAAAGAAAGCACAAATTATTATGTTTCATTTAACCTCTTTCTACATTATTTAAATGGTCCTCCGTGATTTTTTTTATTGTCACTCACAGATATGACACAGTCCACCACAGGCTTCTTCAGTGCGCTCTCTGCTGTTTCCTTCAGCTTGTTGAGCAGCATCCCTGCGATTTGCTCCACTGTGAACACTTTGTCTTCGTCCAAATAACGCACCTGTAAACAGGATACAGTGAGGAGATCTCTTGCTAAGATGTCATGTATTGCATATTGAGCATGAAATGAAAAAGGTTGTATGGAACAAAAACAGGAAAAAAAAAACAATGACATGGCTGACTTAAAATAACAAAAGTGTGCAATGCAAGCAAAAATGGTCAGTGACAGAGACAAAGGGGAGAACACAGATAGTTCTGGACGTTTGTACAGTGCTTCACCTTAACTCCTGTGTTTCCATTCGCCAGTTTATGTAAGCTGTAAGGCAGTTTGGGTTTTTCCGCTTGGACAAATGGGTCATCAAACGCTCTTCCGTGGAACTTTTTGAAGCCATGAATTGTATTTTTGCAGTTGGTAATGACCTAAAATAAGATTACATGACAAAACTTTTTTATACATGTAAATGAATTTTTTAATATTGCCCTTATAACAAAAATAAGTCAATTTGGTATACTCTTACTTGACTTTTGGCTGCATTTCCAATCATGCGGCTTTTGGAGGCCAAAGACACACAAGCCCTAGTTGGAAGACAAATACATCAGCACATTAGGAAGGCTACAACAGAAATAATCCTTCCAGACAAGCAGAACTGTAATTGTCTGACTGCTGCAGACAGAATCAAACGTCCAGGGCACGGAGGCAGATTTCGATTAAGGAAATTTCACAAGGGAGTCTGAGAAAGAAGCACAAACTAGGGCAGGGAGATGGAACAGTTTACCTTCATCAAAATATGTCCTTTTTTTTTTCTTTTCTTTAAAAAACTCCATCTCCCACACTCCTCATTACACAGACTTTCATTGTGTTAACTACCCAATATCAGTGCTTCTTGGCACACAGGGTTTTGGGATGAATTTCACAGTGATAAATCTCTCCTTAGTTTCACCTTGCCTCAAACAGTCACTAAAGGTGCAATGCTCTTCACTTTCCCATGAGCACTTCCCTTTTTTGCAGGATGCTGCAGCAGATGTACCTACTTTATATACCTGTACCACAAAAGAGCTTGATGTTAAATTCTTAACATTGAGATATAAGTAATTTAATATCCTAAAAAATATAATGATACATGGTGGAAATGGGATTTAATTCCCTTACAATCCTCCTGACCTGGCCTGTACTGTAAGTATGATTGTTTCGGCTGACAATGAAAGACAACAATGGCCATGTGATGACAAAATCTACATATTTTCCTTGAAAAGATACAGCATAATATCACACAATTTTTTTTATTTATTTTTTTTATAAAATGGAAATACCATCTTGTCTTCTTAAATGTCTTATCTCAGGCAAGTTAAAGGCGCACTGCGCAGCCCTGTGGCGGTTATCAGGAGGCATGTCAGCTGTCTGTTTACAAGAACAATCATTTCGTATGAGACATTTTGACCTACGTTACCCCGCTGTGACGCTGAATAAAGCAATAGTAACAGGCCTCATCACAACCTGCAGCAGCAGCAGCATTACTGATGTGTCTACACCATCACAGCTCAGCCAGTGCGCCTCCAGTTGCAAACATTGCGTAACAAACTCGCAGCCTGACCACATCTCACGGGGATGATGCTCGTCAAAATTTCTACTTACGGTGTGCATCTGTCACTGTAGTCATTGGTGATAGTTTCAATGCCGCCGCTCCTGGCAACTGCGATGTAGCAATTCTGGAAACCCACATCAATGCCTACCACTGACATGATGAGTGCTCTTAAAGTCACCTCTTCTAAGTTGCCCTACGCAGCGACCGCACAGCACCTCTGAGAAGAAAAAAAATATATATATACAATGCTCCGTAATAAAATGTAAGAAAGCGAATCCTCTGTTCTGGAAACAAATAAGACGGCAAGCTGAGGAAGCACTCACTGAATTACGAGCTGTTATGTAAGTCAAGCTGTTTATAGCAAACTCATTCAGAGTAATCCCACGGAGCAATGGTGTCCAGCGCGGATTCACCCACTCCAAGGCAGCCGTAGCATCACCCAAGCGCCTCTGAGCGTCGGATGCTCTAAAGCCCGCCCCCTGACGTCTCTGACTGGCTACGTCACACCCATTGTCCTAACCTGATTGGTACGATAACCAATCGATAACAGAACAATCTAGAAACCCATAGAAAGGGGGACTGTTAAAGACGTCACGAGTGGGACAGCAGTACTAATATTTACTGTCTGTTTTATGGAATGATTTGTCTTATGACTGTTTTTCATACCTCTTGAAAAAAATAGATAAATATATTTACAGTCTATGGCTTCAACAGACACATTTGCCCTAAATAAAGCCTGTCAGGTTAAGTTTCTCCATTCCAGTCTTACGCACTTAAAGATGTTTGCACGCAAATTACGTATCTTAAGAAATCAGCTTTACAAATATCTGATTAGTATCTGGGGCCAGGAAGGATTGGAGAACAGCTTGAAAGCAAGAACCGCCTTTGAGCCTCAAAAAAGGGGGGGAAAAAAGTCACATGGGGGTCAGGTGTGATCTGCTCACATGAACCAATATGCACAGTCTATGATATGAACGCATATGACTTAACATCTATAATTAAAAAATGTATCTAGGCAATTCTTGTTACAATAAATAAATCAAGTAAAAATGAAATACATAATAATGTAATTATTCTGGACTGGTGGCCAGCATCCCTGTATATTTCCACACATTTATGTAGCCTACATATTTGATATGTATCATTTTCTTTTCTTTCCTTTTTTTCTGTTGATGTCGGATTCTCTGAAGCTGTAATGGCATATATAAAATACACACACGTATTAAAATTAATTCAATGTAATTTGATAAACTGGAATCTAAAGAAAAATACTTAAAAATGTTCTTTATTTCAATCAGTTTGATCTTATTTCAAGCAGTCAAAAGAAATTCATAAAAAATAATGCATGCATAGCCTAATAAGGGGCTAAATCGTAACTTTTATCTTTATAGGCATTTTAAAAATTGGGGCAGCAGTATCAGTCTTTAGACTTGGTTTGGGACTCAGAGGGTCGCTGGATCAAGACCCACATGCTAGTAGGTCTGGTGGCTGCAGAGCACCTCCCGAGTACTGCCGAGGTGCACCTGAGCAAGGCACAGAACAGCTCTGGTGTGCTCACTGTGTATGTAGCAGCCCCACTCTGACATCTCTCCTTTAATGCATGTCCACAGGTCCTGTAGCCTAGATGTGCATCTGGGTATTTCAGGCCTATGTGTGTGAGAAGCATGTCTCAATAACAAAGTGTAAACCACAATGTCCATCAGGGATGAATAAAGTATGTAAATTAAAACGAAATTGAACATTGGTAAGTGAAAAAAAATGGTTTGGCTGGTTTTAAATTCATTATCTCTGATGTGAAATCCTTAACATTTGATGATAACAATAATAATAATAATAATAATAATAATAATAATAATAATAATAAACTCCTCATTTTATTAGTCTTGCGGCTGGTTCGATTTCGATTTGACTTCAACACTTGTTGTTGTTGTTTCCTTGATGAGGACCAGATGGACTGAACGTTCCTTCATGTTGGAACTCAGCCCGAAGGCCCTGGGCGTGATCAAACAGGAAGTGGCTGCTAGTACTCGCTCAGCTAGCCAGCCAGTTGTAGTCAGATAGGTTAGCGTGTTATTTAACTCGGCAGATACAATGGGTCTTTTCGGCAGAACACCGGATAAACCCCCAAAAGAGCTAGTGAGTACTGACTGTAACAATTAAAGGATGTCTTTGCGGCTTTTTATCCGTAAAGAGGAATAACATGAACGCGACTTCAGCTAACGTGGCTAATGCTAGCTTTCAACTCAGCCAGGCGTTAGTTGGTTAATCTGTTGCTACTTGTTGTCCACCTAAAAGCTGACGTAAGTCCAGTTAAATGAAAGCTCTATGTTTATATATTCTGCTCTTTCAAGACCACTCTGTCTTGTTCTGTTTACTACGAGCTAGTTTGTTAGCACAGAAGATAACACTAGTCAGCTGTCAGTGTAAACAAACCCTGATTGTGTTTGCGTCGCTGGCTTTCCCCAGATCAGCGTTAGTTGTAAAAAGGTAATAAATATAATTTTTGTGATTTTTACAGGCGACATTGTGCCGCTTTACTGTCGGACTGTAATTTTTAAGTCAAATGACAGCATTGCAGTTTGTAATAAAAGCCTCATGAATCTTTTCAGATCAGCGAGTGGTCTAAAAAGATCAAGAAGGAAATGAGAATGATTGACAGACAAATTCGAGGTAAGATCTCTTAAACTGAACAGGTGCTAATTCTGTTTTTATCCTACTACAATTTTAAATATTTTCCTTATTTTCTTATGTATTTATTTTAATATCATGTTGCTTTTATGTGTCGTATTTTATTGTATTTTATTTTTATACATGTATTTTATTTTCAATTCTTATTGGTGTGTATTGGTCTCTCAATGATTTTATCAATGATTTTATGAACTGCTTTTCGTCAATAACTTCTCTGTACTCTTGTTAAGCACTTTGAACTGCAATTTAATTTGTCTGAAAGGTGCTATATAAATAAAGTTTGATTGATCGATGATAAGTTTTACATTGTCATTTATGTAAATGAAGTTTCATGGTTAGTTTTTATCTTTATTTAAAAGTATGACTTATAAGTACTGATTTCTCGTATAAGTAAATTTCACACGAAAGACAATCCCTCTTTAAGATGCAAAGATTTGTTTGATTTTATCAACGCAAGAGCCAATTCCATAATTGTTGCTGTATTAGTTTTCCTGTTTTATTTTTAAATGCATGTGACTTTGTTTCAGATATTCAAAGAGAACAAGAGAAAGTGAAAAGATCCATAAAAGATGCAGCCAAAAAGGGCCAGAAGGATGTGTGTGTGATTCTTGCAAAGGAGATGATTCAGTCAAAGCGAGCTATCTCAAAACTTCACGCTTCCAAAGCTCAAATGAACTCCGTTGTTCTCAGCATGAACAATCAACTTGGTGAGTTTTTCAGTAAAGGCGAAGGGTCAGAACAAGCGAGGAATGAAAAATAGAACATGTTTAGTTCTTTGCTAACCTAACTCTAAACAATTTGTTTTAATAATAGAGCTTTATTTTTTTTTATTTAGGACTGTCAGTGAAAGAGAATGTGTTTGTGTCTTTCTAGCTGTAGTACGTGTAGCTGGGTCGCTGCAGAAGAGCACAGAGGTGATGAAAGCCATGCAGAACCTCGTCAAAATCCCAGAGATCCAGGCCACCATGAGGGACCTGTCGAAGGAAATGATGAAGGTCAGCACTAGTGTCCATATAAACACATTTTCTTAAGAGTCAGTCTAATGCAAAAAAAGTGCAACATTGTGCTTAACACAGGTTACCATCCAAGATTATTTATTCTAGAAAAAGGTGATACATTAGGACATAATGTATATCAATATTTCAGGCGGGCATTATTGAGGAAATGCTGGAGGACACATTTGAGAGCATGGAAGATGGAGAGGACATGGAGGAAGCAGCAGAGGCAGAGGTTGACAAGATCCTTTTTGAAATCACAGCAGGTAAAGCAAATTGTTATATTTAGTTATACATCTGCCTGTCCCTGATTTGTTGGATGGTTTTGGTGTCTTTAGGTCTTTACCACAACTGACTAAAACCAAAAGTTCTGTTAAACTGTTCTGTTTGCTTATTTAGGTGCCCTTGGCAAAGCGCCGAGCAAAGTCACAGACGCCCTTCCTGATATGGAGCCGCCTGGAGCCACTGCAGCTTCAGACGAAGAGCCGGACGAGGACATTGAAGCGATGCAGTCGAGATTGGCAGCTCTGAGGAGCTAAGGTGAACTGCCACTGTTCTGTTCCAGTCAGTTTGTCACTCCAAGAAGGACAGAGACATTTTTTGGTGCAGGTTTGACAGTACTGAGCATCCTCTCTGCTTCATATTATAATTACTATTTCATAATCATTTGGGGTTAACATCGTGCTCTGACAGTTAATATCTTTAAAACGTTTTTTTATTCTTCTATAGATTGTGTGGTTCACTCAGCCTGAAGAAAAGGTGTTTATGCTTTTGTCTTTATTATCTAGGGTAAACCTAGGTAAGTCTTTATTATCCAAAGTCAAATAGAAGGTTTAAGAACGTGTATATAATGTAAGTATGAAAAGCCTGCTGTGCCTACAGTGCGTCATCATATTCTTTTGTCCTAAGTTATGGACTGGTGGTGGAGCTGCTTTGGTATTAATGATACAAAAAGTGATACAAAAAACTGTTGAAGGAAGCCACCCTTCATGCAAATCAAATACTAGAATACAAGTTAGCAACTGTTCTAATCTGTTGGAAACATTAAGTAAGCAACAGCGATTCTGTTTACTGGTAACCAGTCCACATTATCTGAGACACTAGAGCTGATGGGTGGATTTCTCTTTTGAAAGTTCTTGTACTGTCACAATGTGTCTGTTCTATACGTGGTCTTACGCTCATCAGAAAAATTCACGCATACTACTCAACCCCGCTGTCTTGCACCTACATTTAGCTTGATAAATGTTTGACTTTGTGTCACAGTTCAGTTCCTTCTAAGCAGGAGGATGCAGAGAAAATGAAAAAGGTTGGTTAGTGAAGAACTTATGTATTGTGGAAGTATTGTGTGTATAATTTTCTGTGTGAATGAGGACAAAATATGGAAATAAACTTTTAAGAACAACGGTTGTCGATCAGAAGAATGCATCACACTGGTTATCACTCATAACATTTATCCCTTCCCCACAACAACAGACAGTTCTTTTTACGTACAGTATCTCACAAAAGTGAGTACACCCCTCACATTTCTGTAAATATTGTCAGCCTGTCAGTGCTCAGACCATACGCCACACTGCATGAAATTGGTCTGCATGGCTGTCGTCCCAGAAGGAAGCCTGTTCTGAAGATGATGCACACAAAAGCCTGCATACAGTTTGCTGAAGACAAGCAGACTAAGGACATGGATTACTTGAACCATGTCCTGTGGTCTGATGAGACCAAGATAAGCTTATTTGGTTCAGATGGTGTCAAGCATGTGGGTTAGGGTTAGGGTTGGCGGCAACCAGGTGAGGAGCACAAAGACAAGTGTGTCTTGCCTACAGTCAAGCATGGTGGTGGGGGTGTCACGGTCTGGGGCTGCAAGAGTGCTTCCGGCACTGGGGGAGCTACAGTTCATTGAGGGAATGCCAACATGTACTGTGACATACTGAAGCAGAGCATGATCCCCCTCCCTTCGGAAACTGGGCCGCAGGGCAGTAATCCAACATGACAACGACCCCAAACACACCTCCAAGACGACCACTCACTGCCTTGCTAAAGAAGCTGAGGGGAAAGGTGATGGACTGGCCAAGCATATCTCCAGACCTAAACCCTATTGAGCATCTGTGGCGCATCCTCAAACGGAAGGTGGAGGAGCGCAAGGTCTCTAACATCCACCAGCTCCGTGATGTCATCATGGAGGAGTGGAAGAGGATTCCAGTGGCAACCTGTGAAGCTCTGGTGAACTGCATGCCCAAGAGAGGGTGAAGGCAGCGCTGGAAAATAATGGTGGCCACACAAAGTAATGACACTTTGGGCCCAATTTGGACATTTTCACTTAGGGGGTGTACTCACTTTTGTTGCCTGCATTTTAGACATTAATGGCTGTGTGTTGAGTTATTTTGAAGAGACAGTAAATTCACACTGTTATACAAGCTGTACACTGACTACTTTACATTGTAGCAAAGTCTAATTTCTTCAATGTTGTCCCATGAAAATATATAATGAAATACTTACAGAAATGTGAGGGGTGTACTCACTTTTGTGAGATACTGTAGATTCGTATAAGGAGAAGGTTTTTAGGAAGGAGACTACTCAGAGTCAATAGAATCACTGTAGAGTCTTGGTCGATCAAACACCTGGCTCAACAGCTCCAAAACCAGACAGTTTGAACAGCAAATTGTTAAATAAATGGGAAAGTACGCTTTTTCATTCTACAGTTAAAAAAACTTGAAGGTACAAATATTCAAGTGCCACGTGTATGACTAATACAGTATGTCAAAATGATTCATTTCCGGCCTTTTAAAGTTGTGATGATGGACGTAGAACACATTGTGTGGATTTTTTGTAGTCTGTTTTTTTTTTTCTTTTTTAAGAAGGAAGAATTGTAAAGGTTTCTGAGGCTGCATTTTGGACATTTTCCTGTTGGGCCTTGTGTTTTTTTAAAGCCTCTCCCTGACTTCAAAATGGACAAAAGGATTAGATTTCTACCAGCCACAGCCCTCTCTGCAGCTTTTCAACCTTGCCTTTGTTCTCTGGCTTCAGTATGTAGGCCATGGAGACTCAAAACAAAGATAAGGTAATCTAGCACTAATGGAGCAGGTTAGAGTCAATCATTATTTTCCACTTTTTTGTCAACATCCTGTTGTGGGTATTTCCTTCAATACTCAAGGAAAATGGAGACTTAACTCAGCTGTTGAAGCTAATACATCTTTTCAGGTCAGCTTAATTCAAACATTAGATGGTATTAGTCTCAGATGTGGCACATTTTTACTGTGAGTGTGTTTAAGAGGCATGAACTTGTACTTTCTTCTTAACATGATAGCTAGGACCTCGTTAAACAAACAACTGTGTCGTCATGACACTTGAATCATCTTACTTTTCCCCATTACAAAACAAAATCCAGATTTATTCAGCTAATCAGACAAATGTACCAGGGGCCTCAAACGCCACAAAATTCACAAAGTAGATGTGATGCAATGACAAGTCAACTCATAATTGGAATAATTTGCCAATTTATTTAGTAATACTCCAAGTAATTGCCTGAAAACCAGTGCCTAGTCTTAAGTTTCATCTCCTCTGGTGTGAGGATGTTCTGTTTTTCTGCTTTATACCACGGTAACTTTAGAGTTTGGGGTACCTAAGTACCTAAACTCAAAAGGTTGGACTTTCTAATTAAAGTTGTGTTTAATTAAAAAAAAACAACTAAGAAAAACATAACACCAAGTGATCATTTCAGTGCTGTCTCTTGTTATCTGGGCAAGTATTAATGCTTTGAGTTACACTTTGAGCTAAATGTGAACTTACAAACTCTCCCTTAAAATGTTCACGCAGAAGATATTTCACTCCCAAGTCCACCATGTGAATCAGGGAATCCAGTCCACTTATCACATCTAAACATGGACTCAGCTTTTACCAGTTCAGTATGCTGTGTATCTTTGTTGTCTGAGCAATGCAACACTGCCATCTATGGATAAGAGTCATACTCCCCTCACTGTTTATCGCGCATCACGTTGCCTCCTGTGTGCGTCCACACGCTGCCGCCGGGACGCGCCTGTCATCTACTGGAGGAAACTCCTCCCTACAGACAGCGCGTCCCGTCGCCTTTCCAGCGCAATGGTCTCCTGGATCATCTCTAGACTTGTGGTGTAAGTCATTTTTATTATTTCTATGCATATGATCCCTTACATTGGATGTGTTATTTATGAGGGTTAGTGCGGGTATTTGTGCGGCTCCTTGGCGGTGGAGGAGCGGCACGCTTTACATGCCCCCGCAATTTGTCTGATATTGGATCGAAAACAGACGTCAGTGTGGAAGCGGAGCAGATGTCGGTTTATAATTTTCTGTAAAATAACCTGCATTCCTTACAACTGCACTTTGCTGTAACAGAAGAAACGCTGAGTAAGGCCTGTGGTGGACCTGCTGTGTTCTTGAACAGCGCCATGCACTCTTTGTATTTCAAGTGGTGTTTTTTTTATTTTTTTATTCTTTAAATTTCAGACAAAGAGGTTGACGCGATTGACTGAATAATCTCTCATCTTCAATGAAATGATCAAAAAGAGTCACTTTCAAGATTCAGGGGCGTCTTTTACTGCCCCACAGCTAAATGTCACAGTGAGGCGAGGTAACAGAACAACAGGAGCGATCTGTGAGAGCAGCTATATGCTCTGTTGATGTCCCAGATTGTAAAAAAAACAAAACAAAAGGGATGGGTCAGGCTTCTCCGGTTACAATACAAGAGCTACTTATGTATTAAGACATGTATGCATTTATCCTTCACAGCTCGGAATTAAAATAAAATGTGACAATATGACAGCATTTATTACTGTAAGTTATTGCTATTTTTTACCTGCACAAAGTATGAATCAGCGCCATTGCCGAGCATGTGGAGTGTACACAGCAGGCCCAACCTCTAAATACTGAGGCAATTAAAATTAGATACATGGTCTGTTTGCAAAGGCAGGACTGTTACAGCTTTAGCTCTGCAGTAAAATATGTAGGCTCTACGGGCTATTTTTTCGCCCAATCTTGAAGTGAAGGGTTTAGCGTTTACCCCACTGATGGTATTTTTAGTGTCCTTGTGTCTCCAAACTGTGTTAGAGCACAGTCAGAGGTGCAACATGATGTGGGTTCAGTAATTTGATCAGGTCGCACTCACAGCTGTTGCCTGGCTGAGGCTCTTCCACAGGGCCCTGTCTCAGGCCGGACACACAGCCAAGCAGCACAGGTGTATACATTACACAACACACGTTTAAATAAAACACACGTATGCTAAGTTTAGCTCTTTTTGTGGACTTTTAGCCCAACGGACAGCTTGTCTTGTCAAGAAAGCCAGAGCAAGGTCCAACTTTATTCTTTCTGGAAGGGAAAAGCTGTTGCACTTTTTTTTTTTTTTAAACCTTGATCTCACAAGACAACCTGCCACTAACAATTTATTTATGAAGAATGCTGCTCAGACAGATAGCCCATGGACAGAAATTCATTGTGTAAATGTATGAACTGAAGCAAAAAAATCTTAAGACACCTTTCATGGATTTACGAGGACAGAAAAGTTCTACATTTTCAGAATCCATAATTAGAAATATAGGTTTTACTCATACTATAGTGTTGTTAAAATGCTTTTCATTGATCTGCTTCCCTGTACATTTTAAATATCAATTTGACTGCTTTGAGACATGTTTAGTTTTTGGAGGCTGATGATCGTATTTTGTGTCTTGTAGACTTGTGTTTGGTACACTCTATCCTGCATACTCCTCCTATAAAGCCGTGAAGTCAAAAGATGTAAAGGAATATGTGAGTATATCATTGTGACTCTCAGATGTGAAATTATATCAGGCGGTTAATTCCTCACAAATGTAATTCTGTAGCGTGTTAACTTGAACTCTTTCTGTTCCATTTGGTTTCAGGTGAAATGGATGATGTACTGGATCATATTTGCCCTATTTACTGCTGTGGAAGTATTTACAGATATGTTTATTTGTTGGTAAGAGACCTCTGATATCCAATGTTAATAATTATACAGACCCTTGACGTAAAACAGTTGACCTCTTTTTCTCTATTTTGTTTATATGACATAACAAACTGTCACTGATTTGTAAAGGCTGTTTTTTTATGCTTAGCTGTACCAGTTCCATTATTTTTGCATCTTTTTTTGCAGGATTCCTTTCTACTATGAACTGAAGATAGCCTTTGTGGTGTGGCTGCTGTCCCCTTACACCAAAGGCTCCAGTGTGCTGTACAGGAAGTTTGTTCATCCCACGCTTTCCTCAAAAAAAAGGTGACACATTTTTCTGTGCTGCATCTCCCTTTCTTGTACTGGCGCAGTTCAAGAAGAGGCTCCGGTGAACATATTCAGTCTAAGTCAAGTTGTTTCTTGACTAATAGAATTTACTGCTATCTTGGGAACAAAAAGGCCTTTGTGCCAATTCACTTTTCCACTTTAGGGGTTAAAGATGTGTTTGCAGGACAGAGGACAGGAAATGTCATGGTGTTCCTGCATTTCTCCTTTCCTTTTTCCTCTGTCTGACTCAGAAAACACACGAGTGACAACAACACAATTCAATGAAGCTGCAGCCATGAGCACTATCAGAACAACCTGTCAACATGTTACATAAAATGAAAAATAAATAAATAATGAGAAATAAAATACAATTTGACATTAATGGACACAATGTTTCTAATGTTTTTGTGCTTGTTTCAGGATATTGACGAGTATATCTGCCAAGCGAAGGACAAAAGCTATGACACACTGGTGCATTTTGGGAGAAAAGGGCTGAATGTTGCAGCCACAGCTGCAGTCATGGCAGCAACAAAGGTAACGCAGACTGTGGGCATTTGCTTTGTATTGACATGGGGTACAGTAGAGGGTCAGTGTTTAGGGGTGCCAAGCCCGTTATGTCGTTTGTGAATTTTATTTAAATAATCCAGTAGCATATTGTTAAATTTGAGAAAATAAAGTCACCCAACCTTTATTTGTACTGAATAGGTCTTTTAAGACAATCCTCAAGACAAAAGGATTTAGTTTGGCAAGAACCAAACAAAATAAAAACAACCAATGAATTATAAGAGAAAAAGATAACTGGCAATTACACAATGGGCTCACTTCAATGCCAAGAATATTTTCTGTACGGGGGATTTTTTGAAATGATTATGTCAGATTATTTTGAAAACAAGAATATAAAAATAAAATCTGGCGTCTTGGGTTAATAATCTAATAGATTGATACAATAATTCAGTTTGGGAAAAATAGTTATTTATTACAATTAGAAGTTGGCAGGCTTCAAAATGAATTTTGGAAAAGTCTAGGTGGTGCTGTATCGTGTTTCATGAGTCAGATGCATTACAATGAAAGCAGTCTTTCAAATTTCCGACCTAACTTCTGGAGTATATTCATCCATTTTCTGTCACACGTTGCTCCTGAGTCTAAATGAAGCCCACTGTTCCTCGTTCTAGAGCCAAGGGGTCCTGTCAGACAGACTGAGGAGTTTCAGCATGCAGGATCTGGCTTCCTATCAGGAAGAGCCTGTTAACACAGCTCCCGGCACCAAGCAGCCTGCAGCAGCAGCAGCAGCAGCAGCAGCAGGACAGCATCGGACCAGATCTATGATGCGCAGCAAGTCAGAGAGCTACAACAAGGGTGAGCAGATTTCTCTCTGTACTGTGCATGAACTCAAAAGTTGTTGTTGAGACTGACATAATGCAGCAAGTTTAAAGTAACGTCAAGAATGAAAACTATTAAGTATGGATCTATTTTGTGATGAAACCTAAATAAAGGTGTAACATAGCGTTTGGAAACACAAGCTGTAATGGAACCATTGTGATGCTACAGAAGTGCCCAGGTTGTTTGTGTCAATCTGATCATGACGTAGATTTCTGTCTTCCTGTTCAAGCTTGTTTAAGCTGACAGATATTGTTTCGTACCCCTGCTTTCCTGAGCGGCCCCCTAACCTTAGTCCTGCCTTCCTGTTTGGAGCAGGCCGAGCCTCAGAGGTCTGCCAGGCAAACCATCCTGTGATATAATTCACGTGTAGCTGGGGGGGGGATTTGTTCCCCACATGTAACATCATGTGAAAACAGTTGTTGTTTGTTTTTATCTTGGTATGGTGTTTTTTTTTTTTTCTCAGCTGATCATTTCTTGGTAGATAAATTTAGACACAACTAGCTAATTGGATTGAAACATCTGTACCACTTCTTTTTCATCAAACAAGGAATTGAGATTCCTTCTCTAATGGTTCATTGATTAATGGGTTTGACTTATTTAAGGTTAAGTGTTACATCATCATTATTATATATATATTTTTTTTAAGATTGTTTTTTTCATAGAACAGTGAAAATTTACCACACATGATAATTCATCTCTTTTATTCCTGACAACAGATCCAATGAACTCACATGTTTAAGTCAGCGTTTCTTTCCACACCCAGTATATGTTGTTACTCTCCACCCAGAACCCATTGCTTTACAACAACAAGAAATCACATTACTATGAGTATGCAGGAATTTTCTACATTAGCACTTCTGTTTCATGTGGGATGGAGTTCAGATTAACTACAGTGCACGGTAGTTCATGGTAAATAGAAACATACTCAGCAGCACAACTATGCAGCTCACTGATGTTTTTAATATTTTATCAAAATAAAAAATGGAGGTCTCATAATCAGTTTATTGCAGATTTTTGTCTTAGTGGACAAGATTTCAAATAAACTCATATCACATGATTTGTTACTCTAGTGACATTTTAAAAACCCAGTTTGAACAATGTTGACACTGTATAATTTAGCTTTCTGCTGACATCATTTTACATAACATGACAAGCTGACGTAAGAACAGATGGGCTTAATTTGCAAAGGCTTGTGAGCCTGTTTTTTTTTTTTGGCTCATGCTTAAAATAACTTCCTATCTCTCCTCTGATGTGTGGTCTGCAGAGTTATAATGCGTTGTGATAAACACTTTCAAAATCCACCGTTGGCCAAACAAGAAGTGGCCACTTCAAAGCATCAACATGTCAATTATTTTGCTTTCAATTCAGTAGACCAGACACAAGATTTTCACATTGTTTATCGCCTCCATTGACCTTTTTCATGGTACAGAAAAGGATTTTGACATGACTGACTATGAGATGCTGGGGCTGGACCAATGGGACTCCAAGGGCTCGCTGTCACAGACCACTACACCTTCTGAGTCTGAGTACACTCCCATTACGCCCTCACTGACACCCAGTCCTCCCCGCCCTCCACGCCCTCTCCACCTCCTTTTCCTTCTTCAACTCCAGAGCAACCTTGGGAGGTGGGGAGAGGGGTGCAGGCGGGGTCAAGCTCTCCACAGCATAGGCAGATTAAGAGGAAGGCTCCAGAGGTACACCGCCTCACACACGGCTATCTCAGCTGCTGCCTGACTCTAAAAGCCCCTTGAGAGTGGTGATCTACTCACCCATTTACTAATATCTACCACTATGTCCCTAAACAAATCATCATGGTTCAGATGTGATGCGACTGTAGAAATTCTGACTGCCATGAAGATTTCTGCACTGATTAAGCTGAATCATGTATTAACTTAAGTAGTTAATTGTTAGCTGAATATGTTTTGCAGCTTTGGTATTTGCAGGTGCTCACGTGTTTGAAAATGTGGCATGGGAAATGTCCGTAATGGTTGACATTTAGTACTGGATTGCCTTTCAGTATTTTTTCACCCTGATTATAACGTCTAATTATGATGTCATGTGTTTGGAAATGGTTCTGCATTGTCCGCCCTGGAATGAATGGGAATTCATTAATATCAGTGTGTCTTTGTTATTCTCATTGTCAACAAATCCAAAGGGGGAAAAAAATATAATTTTATATTTTATATTCACTGTTGAACTGGATCAAATTGAATATGAGCACTGTATTTAACCTTTTCCCAGGTATAGCATGCCACTGCTATGAATAATCACTAGTATACTAAATGTGTATCAATGTGCCAATGAATTGTTCCATAATTAACACTGTTTACACCTGTATTAGCAATGTTTAAAATAAGATATACTACAGTTCCCAACTGTTTCAGGAAAAGATTGACTCCCTTTTAAAAAATCAGTGATATATACAGTAAATCTTATTTCCTTCATTTAAAGATGTATGTTCCCAGTAGGAATGTAATGTGCTTTGGGCTCTGACAGACGTTCTGGTTTTACCTTAGGATTTGTTGACAATATAAAAATCAAGAAAAATGGCAGCCACTCCTTGTGGCTATAAGACAACTAAACTCCATCTTCCTTTTTTTAAATTTCTCCTCATCTGTCCTTCCTTTCAGCCACCTCTTAGAGTCTTAAGGCCTCTCACGAGATCCTGGAGTGCTCTTTCCTCGAACAATGAAGCCATGTGAAACTGTCCTAAAGACTCCTCCAGCTGCCTTTGCTGCAAGACATGAAAATACTGAATGGCCAAAAGCTACATGACTGAAGCAGCCTTGCTTTGGGATAAGGTATTACCAAAGTGACCTATCATGACCCCTCTATATTAAATATAAAGCTTGTCTCTCATGATTTGATTTGTGACACTGAGATAAAACAATGAGTGAATGGGCTCCATGCTGATAGACATTTTGAGTTTGTGGGTTAATGAGTATGTCTTTTCTGTACAGTTTGTGTGTACTCCATCTTTCTGATTGGATTGTTTTTATATATCAGGTGTGGGTAGGCATTTGCATGTGTGTCTTCCCAGTCATTAGTCCTCTGTTTATAAAACAGAATGTACTGTCACTGAAAACTACAGCTGGCATTGAGAGTGACATGGTCACTGTTAGAGAATGTGTTGAATGCCAAGGATCAAAAGAAAAGGTGGCTGTGTTTAAAGCTGCTAAGCCAATTACTGCACTATTATATATCAGGTGTGGGTAGGCATTTGCATGTGTGTCTTCCCAGTCATTAGTCCTCTGTTTATAAAACAGAATGTACTGTCACTGAAAACTACAGCTGGCATTGAGAGTGACATGGTCACTGTTAGAGAATGTGTTGAATGCCAAGGATCAAAAGAAAAGGTGGCTGTGTTTAACAGCTGCTAAGCCAATTACTGCACTAATTGATTATTGGGATTGAGAAATCAGTCAATGGCTCAAAAACATGTTCAGCGATATGACGACCTGTGACAAAAGGTTAAACATTAGACAGTAGCGACGGAAGAGATTCTGTTGTTTAACTCTCTATTGAAGCCTTAAAAAAAAGTTTAAATGTGTCCACGTGTGAAATAGATATCTCTAACACCGCTTAGTGCAAAGTAATTTTTGCACTATGTTTAGAATCTTTTGCTGTATGACTGCCCTCAGTTACATGACTCTGAAATGGCCAAAACAATCACATCACATAAAACACTAATCATAGAAAACTAGTAGCTGAATTTGATCAAAAATGTATGATTTCTTCTGTGGTAAAGAATATTGACTTCTGAGACTGCTAAGTAATTGCACTCTATCACAGGTACAGTAAATAGAGTCACTACTACAAGAGGTTTTCTCAATGGAGCCGACTGTTTTTGACAATCTATTGTTGAGTTTGTACGCACGCTTCGTCATTCTAATGACACTTTGCTGGCATTTAAAGGCCAATTTAGAAAAAAAAGTCACTTTGAGCTGTAGCAGAGAGAGAATATAACATGTGCAATTTTTCATCTTAATTAAGGAATCAATTAAAGTTACTTTATTAGTTTGCAGGTTGACAAACTCAAATTTAACTTAAGCTTGCGTGATGTATTTTTTTTCTCATCCTGTTCTTTATTCACTGAGCCTGAATCAAAGCAACACTTTTACACAAAGTATCACTGTGCCGGTTGTTCATGGGTGGACTTGCGCAGTCGATTTGTAACTTTCATCACTGTATCTGCATCATTAGCAGTGACTTGAAGTTTGGAACAAAAGCTTCTCAGGTACAACTGTTTTGTTTACACGTCATTCACTTTGATGTTGTAGATACACTTGTTATGCACATGAAATGTCCCTCTGATGGATTATGGGTGAATAAAATCTACACAGGCAAAATCAGATGATGTATTTCAGCGTTAGTAGTATCAGTGTTATCAAAAAAAAATACATGTCAAGTAAAACAGAGTGTTGCTTAGTAGCTGATTTGTATACTTGTGTATAGACTGATAAACTAATCATTGCATGAAGTTTGTTGTTTATTTGAATGAATATCAGATTTCTGGAATGATTTTGTGAAAGGTTGTTAGTCTCTACATACAGTAAATGATACAATTGCCATTTTTGGTTGCTTTGTAGAAAGTATATAAAAGGTAAGACTGTACATGTCGGCTTTACATATATATGAAAAACATGTCTAATTGACTGATTAATAAACCACTTTAAGTCTTTCATGAGGAGACACAACGTCACTTAATTATCCATAGAGATTTTGTTCTGGCAGGCCAGAATGCCACATAACTTCTATTTTAATGTGATTGCCGAATAAAAAAAGAAAAAGCATTAACTGATTACATCATGAGTTATGGCAATAGGTTTCTTGTTGTTTAAATATTTCTGTTTCAAATCGATTTACAGCCATTAAAATATGAAGTAAAACTTTCACAGTTTTTCTCTTATTATTTCAAAGATCATCTAAAAGATGTAACAAATATTTAAGACAAGAGACTTTATTATGTATATGTATTCTAACTTTATTACATTACAGCCAAACACAAAACAAGATCTCACGCCATGAAACAGCAAATTAAACTTTTAGGTTAACCCTGTCTTGGTACTTCTGGTAAGGATCATCCACATACCAGTTCCTCCGTTTCCAAAAAGAGGTTGTCATTTTATCCAAAAGCTTGCTCTGTGTTTTGTTACAGAACACATGCTCCCTCAGGCGCTTTCGTCTGGCAGGTTTCTTCTTCCACAGTTTCTTCTTGTATCCAGCCTGTTTACGTCCAATAACAACAAGTCCGATCGTTAACACAATGTTTTAAGGGTGTGAAGAGACGCACACTGAAGTTAACATTTAAAGACCCGTACCTTGCGTCGGATCCAAAGGCCACAATGAAGCCTCATAAACCGATCTGGCACAGATTTTACAGACTTCCTCTTGCCCTTCTTTACACTGTAGTATGTGAGACTTCTGCTTGGTTGCTGAGTCAGACTGGGAATAAGTGATGATATCCTGCAACAACACAGATACAGTAGAGAAATGACACAACCAGTTATTTAAAGCTTCTATTGATGTTTTTTTTCCCAATACGAGGTTTTTTGTTTTAAATTTAAAATACTAGCTTAGAAGATTGTTTCAGCTCTCTTGGAGATGCCTCACTCCATTTCAGATACAAAAGAGACAAATACAATTCTTACTTGTGGTGTTTATCGTACATCAGCTTTTTGATTTCCAATCATTAAAAAAAAATAGATATTGCACATTATTTTATTGAAATGTAATCCTTACCCTCCCTTATCCTGATGCACAAAGGGGTACTATCAGAATATATTTGTCAAAGTTTTTATTGTCAGGTAAAAGAGTTTGGTAGTGCAGTTACAATATTAAAAGTCTCTCCAAAGGTTGAGGTTATGTGTTTATCTTAAAATAAGTTTCATATTAAAAACACGTTTTTTTTTTCTGTAGAGGAGGATGAATGTTTATGGCATCACATTCACAATACCCTGGACATTGTTGTGCTGATGTAGACGCTTCTTTCCCCTTGAGCTAAATTACACACGATGAGACACGTGTCTTTATATTAAGCTTTACAACATGTAGTTACATATGGGGTGCCAATTGTAAAAACTTTGTTTTATATATTTCAATATTTAGTTAATATCCTTCACATTTAGCTTGTTTTACACATAAACAATTGCAAAGTTTAAGTGTTGAAGAAATATTTAATAATAAATCTAAATGTAAAATCTAAATGTAAATATTATATATACATTTTATATCTAAATCTAAATGATAAATCTAAATATAAATGTTAAATATAAATCTAAATGATAAATCTAAATGTATCTAAATCTAAATGATAAATATAAATCTAAATGTTAAATCTAAATTTAAATGTTAAATATAAATATAAATGATAAATCTAAATGTTATATCTAAATCTAAATGATAAATCTAAATCTAAATGTTATATCTAAATCTAAATCTAAATGTTTGCAACTTTGCAATTGTTTATGTGTAAAACAAGCTAAATGTGAAGGATATTAACTAAATATATCTAATATATATATATATATATATATATATATATATATATATATACCAACATTTTTACAATCGGCACCCCATAGTTACAAAGACTAGTGTTAAATGTATATCCACCTGGCATCAGCATTAAAACAAGCAGCAGTTCTCATCGGTGTATTTACCTTTGAAGAATGTTACAGCGGGGTGTCTGACACACTGCAGCCCGCAGGGGAGCGCTGACAGCGGCTGCGACCGAGCTGTAGAGAGGCTGAGGCTGGAGGAGGCTGGAGAGCTGACAGACCTGTGGTGTCTTAGCACACAGAGAGACAGACAGCGGCCTCAGCAGCCCTGTCACACACAAGAACAATGTGAAAACGCATTAGGAGACACAGTGAAGAGGAAACATAGCACTACTTTAACATTAATGTGCCTCATTTACAGACTAGACTTTACTCGAGCGAACACTTTCTCCGACATTGGAGCAGAACAATTAAATCATAGATTAAATGCTTATAAATTAAAAAAGTTAAGATGAAATATATGAATATAAATGTGTTGGTACACACCGGACACTCTCCTTGCCAAGGCGGCCGCCATGTTTTCCTCTGAATGTTGACGTAAGTACGGAGTCCTGCGTGGACAGTTTTGGTTTTACTCGCATGACCCAACCATCCAAAACTAAATTTAGACAGTCCAATAGCGCCCCCTAGCAGCCGCAACTAGACCTGTATCTCCGTGCGGAAGTCTTTTTTCTGTTTGTTCTAAATATCTTTTTGGGGAAAAAAATGTGGAAAGCACATGTCCAATACCTCAGTGTTTCTTTTTCACCAATACAGTTGACGTCTTAGCTCTTACGAAGCAAATTGTAGGAAGACAATTTGATGTATTTGATAAGTAGGCCTAAGCATAGGCCAAGGCCTGAGGTGACAATGCATCAATCAACAAACATTTTGAACAAAAATCCTCATAAACATCTTAATGGGATATTCTGGCTGATTAGTGCTTTCACTTTCTGCATTAAGAGTATTTTGCACTCACTGACTAAAAAGTGAATGCAGAAGTACTGTATGTCATGGGGTATTTTTACACAGCACTTGACTGTTTTTTTTTTACTACTTCCAGTAATGCTGTCAGGATCTTGGTGACATCCACTTTCCAGAGTGGTATCATTTTCTCTAATAGACGGTGTTTCTTAGCTCGTTCAGCTGTCCTGTATCTACATGGTTGAAACTTTTCAACTTGTTTTTCTGATCTTAGATCTGCCATTAGTCACAGTCTCTTGCATGGATGTTTACATAAGTGAAAATAATGGTTTACTGCTGTGGAACCACAGGCCAGTAGATTTCTCTTTAGTCTAGTAAACATGACAATTTTTCATGGCAGAAAATGTATAGGAGCAGCTTTTATCAAGAAAGATTAACACAGAGATTCTACGTCTAGAATAATGTGAAAAAGTATTATGGGATAATTAAATCTGCAGAAACAATTCCCTGAAACATGGAAACTAAACTAATTGAAATAAAAGCTTAGAGGCACAAATTTAAATGTTCACGATATGACATGAAGTGATTTACAGTTTTTTATAAATGTATGCTCACTTTGACTTCCTAGATCAGTTAAATATTGTCACATTAAAGAGATTTGACATGCACTTTAACAACCTAAATGATTGCAATATGACTGAAATGAGTACAAAGTATGTAATAATTAATAATTTTTTATTTATTTCACTTTAAAACATACGAATATAATTTTTAAAAAAGCAGATGAAAAACATTAAAGCAAATGTACCAATGTGACTACAAAGGACACAGCACTCTAATCAACGTATTAAATAAACACACTTCACAACTCTCTTATACTGTGGAGTTTCAGGAGTTAATGGAAGCACCCAAACGTCTACAGAGACATGAGTGCAAAGTAAATCAATTACTTCGGTTTTAAAAAGTGCTTTTCATCAGAGAGAAGTTCCTACCCAGTTATGGCACTCATCCCAGCATACATACCTCTCATAATGCATAGTTTACAAAAGTAGAGTGCTTGTCTTTGAGTGGAACAACTGTAACAGTGTCAAACAACAACAACAACAACAAGTCACACAGCAGTAAATGTCCATTTCTCAATAATATATTCAAACGTACCACATAAAAAGTCTTCTGCTATAAGTTCTCTTGTCTTTCGTTAGAATCCATTTAGAGATCTCAGTTGGTTTAGTCCTACACTTAAGAAAGCTCATGTAATGTCCTTTGGTTCACCAGCCAGCATACACAGGCTCTGCATCACAGGGGATCCCGTAGTATCGACCCTGAGGTCGCTCCTTGCGTAGTAACGGAGCTCGAGCTACATTCAGCTCTCTGTCAGTGTCTCTCCGTCGTCGTACTACCATTAAAATGATGAAGAGTAGAGCTACTGCAGGGAGAGAGGAAGAGAGGGTGAGACAGGAAATAAAGGCTTTCTGTTTTAATGAGACCAATTTACGAGGTATTAAATAAAAAGATAATAATAAAGGAAAATATATCATGGGATTAAAACTGCATTCTGAGAACAATATGTAGCATAATTAAAATAGACAGATGACACATCCAATTTGTGGTTAAAATGCCCATCATCAATTAAAGAAATGATTAAAAAAAAAACATCTCAGTAGTTGCCCCTGCTACATGACTGCACCTCTGTGTTTTCTAAAGTTCCACTGCATATTTATCTGTTCTCATATTTGCCATGTTTTTTTATGACTGTAAAAAAAAAAAAAGCTGTCCCATGAAGCTAACTGGCATGTCTAATATCTTTAAGGAGCTATAACCGTATCAAACACAAGCTATTAACACAAATTGTAAAGACATTTTTTTGCATGTAATTAAATCATATCAAAGAGTGACATTGCAGCTGCAAGTTTTGTCCACTTGAAAGGAAATCAGTTTGAAAAGCATAATTTTAAGTCACAAGCTTCGGTTTTAAAGTGGTGTTAACATGGTGTTAAATGAAGGCGAGCTGCAACGACCACGACGCTCAGACAGATGCTGGATACATCAGTACTTTCAAACTTGAGTAAAGGAAAGCATGATTGTATTTGACAGTTTCTTCAAAGCTTACAGGACTCTTTTGTGTCTTCCAGTATTGTAACTCACCTCCTCCGCTTATGACTAAAAGAGCAATAGTGACAGGAGCAAGTTCACACGTGTCCCCCTCTTTGCGAAAGAAAGTCTCCATACAGTATCCTGGAGCTAAGCTGCCCGCTGGACAAAAGGCATCGCTTGGACACTGAATGGGGTTTACATCTGGACTCTGAATGAAAAACACACTCAGTCATCAAAAATGCACAAGGTATTTACTCAACAAAAACAGCTTCCTTTTCTCTTGTGAGTTTCTACAGTGCTCACAGGGCAGTAGTGATTCTCTGGACACACATCGCAGCCCTCCTGGCCCCAGTGGATCTGGAAGAAGCCGCTGTTGCAGATTTGACACATAGTCTGATGTGGAGCCTTGTACATGCCTGTTTAAAAGAAAATATCTGCTTGACAGATATTCATGTTTCTTGCTATTGGCTGCTGTTCTCGCAAACATTTTTGTTTGATTACCTGGCCGACATGCTGTGCAAACTTGAGTGGCAGTTTGTAGAGCTTCTGATCCTCCAGGACACTTCTCACACAGGGGGCAACCAGAGGAGCTGTCGGAGAGACAGGCAGGCGTTTGTGTCTGTTCATGGACAACCTGCTATTGATTTCATGGCTGTCACAAGTAACATTGAGGCAGTTCTGGAATATCTCACAGCCGATTTAGCTCTCAGCATTTTACTGAAGCTTGTTTACACAGTGTCAACAGACATGCTTGAAATGGTATGGCAAAGCTCTGACACAGCTTTGAAAACCATCACTTTTTACATTGTTTTAGCCAAAATAAGATGCCAGGGTGGCTTTAAAGACTCATTTTAAATGTGAAAATCTTGGTCTATCTACTGTATTTATGCCTAACCTTGACCTGGTGTTATGAGCCTTTAAAACAATCCCCAGAAATAGATGCCCAAATCTATGTTAACAGCATGTAAGGGCTCAGATAAGTGGAAGTCGCTCTGATTTACATTTTTGTATATTTACATATATCAAGTACTATAAACCACATTTATATCCACTGAAACATGGTCATGCATGCCACTAAAAAATGTTTTACAGTCAGTCTGCTTGGTTGTCAAAGCATTGCCTGTTTAACCGGTCTTGTATGTGCGTCTGTGCTGGCAAAAATGAAAGCATGTGATGTTTGATCTGCTGAATAGATAAGTGATTTATTTCAAACAGAGAGGAATTGTTGAAAGTTGTACTTTGATTCCTGGCTCCCAGGTTCAGACAACAAGAAAAAAACAAACAGAAACCTGTTGGCATTCAAATTAGACTTACTTGCAAAAAGTTCCTAGTTCACATGGTGTACAGGAAGTGGAGCTCTGCTGCGATGAAAAGAAACCTGAAGCAGCATACAAAAAAATTCCACTAATTATATTCATTTGCAAGCCTACATTTCTTAATAATTGATCTAGTGAAGATATTTTGATCATGCAAATGCAAATTTCTCACAACAAGGATCCTTCTGTTACTGTCTGAGAGCAAATAACTAAACACACCTGGTGAGCAACTTGTGCAACTGTCTCCACCAGTGTGATTGTTGAAGGCTCCAGGAGGGCAGGCGTGACACAAAGGACTTCCAGTGAAACTGTAGAGTATTGCAAAATAACCACCAATCAAAAAGCAGTAAATAACAGCAAGTTAAGTATATGTCAGCACCATCTGTGTTCCTACTTTGTGTAAAAGCCGCGGTTGCAGGGCAGACACTGCTGCTGGCCGGCTAGTGGTTGATAAAAACCTGTTGTACATGGAAGACATGCTCCAGGAAAAAGACACAGCCCGGGGTCAGCACAGCATACACACATCAGGGTGTCTGAGATGGAATAAAGACCCATGTCTTAACGTCAACTTTATTATCTGTTCACATAGTTAGATGCACTGCAGTTTAAACCTTTAGAGATTGTAGATACAGCTCATGTATCTAATCAGAGTCAAACAGTGTCTGAATGATTTGTAATAAGGTCATGGACTCACTGTTGTCGTACTGCGATCCTGGTGGACAAGGCTCACAAGAAGAAGTGTTGAATGCAAAGCAGCCCGGGGTTGTGCTGCTGAGGATCACGGGAGTTAGAGTCAGACTGGTCACATTCTCGATGAGAGTGGTGTTCATCACAGCTGGAGTGAGTGTGGTCTGGCTCAGCACCATGCCTGCAAGAGACAGTGGACTTATACAGAGTTCGGTGCGAAACTCCCAACTAGTTCTCCATGAAAAATGACCGGGCTTTTACTGGTAGTGTCGGTGATTGAAGGCTTTAACTATGACCTTTAGCTTTACTTCTGCTCTCCCAGGTTCACTGGCTCTGGCTCGATTTCTTTGCTCATATTTCCGCACACTGAAGTAGTTGTGACATTAGCATGAACATAGCAGTGTAGGGAAAAGCCACTTTAAAAAAACTACTGCACAGTGAAAAAGTTGAAATTCAGTCAAGCTACTAAGGGAGAAAACAAATTTGGTTAAATAAAGGTATTTATAGAAAGTAGTTAAACAAACTGAAGAAGAATGGTAAAAGTAAACAATGTGCATGAGATACAAATGTTGCAATAGAATATATTAGAGAAGTAAAATGTCAGTGAAAAATGAAAAGTTTATAATTAGATCCATATCTATGACAAAATCATGCATCATAAATTCAAGTTAGGTTGTACACATTCAGATTAAAAACAATTTTAAAAGTTGCCCACAGATTCTGATATTCCCTTCTTGAACAAAACGCATCCTTAAGGTAACTATCACAGATTGCATTTTTTTGTTGTTGTAAACAAATCTGAACTTTGTACAATCAGACCACAACTTAAACAATTGGAAACTGACCCATTATTTGTGTTGAGTAATTAACTCAACGAAAGATGTAAAAAATTAACTTGAATCAATATGCATATGTGGACACAGTTGAACCACCAGCCTGTTAATGCAAATTTAGCAAACTCCTCTCTTGACTTCATGTAGTTTAATAGTCCCCAACACCTCAAAATACATATAAAAGTAGATCTTTTCGGGATGTGATTTCACGTGGAAACCGCTGTCAAATGTGATCACTAGCGTCTCAAAGTCAAATGTAGAAATTGCTTTTATAACCATATTTAGATTTCCATGCTGTTGCTAAATAGTCAATGACTTTTCTTAGCAGATTCGCTCTGATCTCATTCACTCCCTCTTAGACATGTACAAAAAGTAATGCTAGTGGGTAGCTGTCTGTCAGGGCTGTATGTCAAACCTCAGCCAAGTGTATGACCTCACAAAAGAGAGCAGAACTTCTTCAATCAACTGTGTTATCTTGATATCTTAAATATCTCCACAATATCCTGAGTGTAGTAGGTGACCATTGAACTTATCCAACCACTAAGAGGGTGGGGGTAGTTTAGGCATAACAGCAAAACAGAGCCTATATTGTGGTAGTAATCACATTAGCCATGTGCTTAAGTGCTTTCTTGAAAAAGAGCCATCCTCCTCGTGAGATCCAATAATTCAGAAAATGGGTCATGTGATTATTCTGCTTCAGTCTGCTCTGGCTTGGACAACATTTCTCTCTCAAAGTTTTTTTTTTTTAATGGACACGAGTCTGTATTAAAGTGGCAGAAAAGAAATGCTGTAATCCTGAGAGTTTGGAAGGGTCGTCAGCAGATTAAGTCCCTATGAAGAGATTAGGGCACCACCACAACAACATACCATAACCTTAACTCCAGTTTGACTTGACAATGATAGAGTGACATGGAAACACAGTAGCCTATGCTGCATTAACTCTATGACTGTTTCATTGAGGAAATGTTTGCAATGAATTAGACTATGGGAGAAAATAAAGGCTGGAATTAATTTGATTATTATTTTTTTTTACAATTAGCAACAGAAAGGCTAATGCCCATTTTTTAATTCAATTGTAAGACACTGTGATAGTTTGTCAACTCCACAGAAGTCGACAGAAATCTATAGTTACTCTAACAATTAGCTACTGTAAACTCTAACACACTTAACATTAAAGTATATCTCAGTTATATCACTATTTAGCTCTTGAGGTGCCATTTTTAGTCATTGTAGCGTTAGTGAAGGCTCAGTTTACCTAGTAAATAAGCGGTGTATATCGCTGGCAGAAGTCCCAGGCGGGCCATCCTCCACAGATTATCGAGTACTACCAACAAACAGTGTCCGGCTACAGCATCTCATCCCTGACAAGTGGTCGACTTGTCCTTGTTTTTTTTCACAGAGGACGTCAGTGACGCTCGGTCGAAGTGGGATCAGGTCCTCTCATCAGTATCATATGACAAAATACACATCATGTGATTTTGCTTTAGAGGGAAAAACGGAGAAAAATGGGCTGGATTCAGGCGAAAGGCTTGTTGCACGGGGCGACCTGCAGGGGCGCTACGGCGTCTTGTATGGGTCAAATCAAATGCATTGGATTTTACTGTATATTATACGTCTGTTAATAACACCTTACAGGAAAGATGGCCGTATTTTAATACATTTTAAAAGATGATTATTTTCAAGAATAAATAGTTATACACTTTGGCAGAGTCATTCTTAGCTTTGAAAGAGATAATATGTATCTTGTGACATTTTATTATTTGTTTTGTGCTTCATGTGATTAATATAGGGACATAAAGTTCCCATTTAAAATGTAGAAATGCAACATTAGAACATTTAATTTAGGTGCATAATAAATCTGTGCTGCACTTGCCGTTCTGCTTTGCGGTAAGATGTGTTCTTACAGATGATACTGGTGCATCACCCCTGACTCTGAGTGATCATGAGTGACATGTTTTTTACAGTAAATTGTTACCAAAACAAAGAAACCACATAAATAACATCTATGTTGCTTTGGGGAAGGGAAATTTCTTAATAAGTCACAAGTTAAAGCTTCACTTCCCTTTTCATGACACACGGGTGGGAGGAATTTATTTTGAGGGGATGTGAAAAACAATCTCAGAGTGACAGTTACAGTAGAATTTAGACTACAGTCATAGTACAGGATAATCAGTTTAATTAATCAGTTTATTCATTGAAATAAAACACTTTGGAATTTAAATACTTTCTCCAGCAATTTTAATGAAAATGTGTGAAATTAATAACATAACCGAAGATGAAAAGCTGATTATGCCACATGTCTTGCAACAAACATAACTCTTTCAGGCCTAAATAAAGCATTCAAGCCATGGGATAGATGTTGCAACATATTTAAGTCTTGAATGCTTCCATCAGAGAACAACATGAGGAGTTTCCATCTGGATATGATGCTCTAAAATCAGCTCCACTTCCTCCCAGGTTTTCTCCTTCTGGCAGAACAAGACATGGAGAGAGGCGTAAGAACATTGTTTGCTGCCAATGGCATGAAAAATATCTCCACTAAGAGAAACAGACAGAGCTAACAACCTATTTACAGCTCAGCGATGTCAGCTCAGTTTTTCTTTGTTTTGGATATCATACTCACTCTGTTGCGTGTGTCTGCAACAGACTGTGAGGCTGCTTGCTCGGATGTTTTGCTCCTCTGACTCTCAATTTGCCTCAGTCTTTGGCGCTCTTGTTGTTTCTCTTCGAGCTTCCTCTGCAAAGCCAAAACTGTCTCATCCTGAGGGACCACCTGCCGAATACCCAGTCTGCTTTTCCTCTCCTCTCTCCTGCAACGTGCCAAAACTCATCATAAATACATGTGCGATATTTATGTGCTTCAGAGCCAAACATGTCCCTGACCTGATGGATGCAGCCTGTGCCAATGCTCTGCTGTGGAGGTCATTGGTGTCTAACTGCTCCAACAGCATCTGCTTCTTGTTCTGCTTCTCCTCCAGGATTTGCACCCGTTTCTCCTGCTGCTCCGCCTGCTGCTTATCCTTGAGGAGAGTGAGCCGCTCCCTCAGCTCGCACAGGGACATCTCTCCCAGCAGGTCGTGACCTGCAGTCTTAACAGGGACAATAATTTCACCTCAATGCAGAAACAAATGCCCTTTGGCATCTGTGCTTCCATTTACTCACCTGTGTGTCATCAAAATTCTTCACTCTATCATGAGGGAGGGATTCAATGGCACGGATTTCATAGATGATTTCAAATTTCCTGCTTAGCTCAGCCTGTGCCTCCTCTAGCGCCTGGCGGAGGAGCTCTCGACTTTGCTCCGAGACTTCTTTCACTGTAAAATGTTCATGGAAATGATGAGAATGAAAGCAAACAAATATGCATCCCACCTGACGCCAAAAAGCGGGGACTTACCTATACTTTGCTTGAATTTCTGAATCCTCTCTTTAGCTGCCTTTGAGTTCTTATGTCCTTCTGCTACTTGTTGCACCAGGCCTCTCATTTCTTTTTCCTCTTGCAGCCTTTTCTCAGCGTATTTCCTCATCAGCTCAGCAGTCTAGACGCAACAGAGCGACCATTACAGAAACATTCATGCGTAACTGTGAAGAACCTCTCTAAAGGGGTTTTTAGAAAATAGACATGCTTTTGTCTAATTCTGTCTAATCTTGCTACATACTTTTGAGCGGCGCTATGTCGTCAAATTGATTCTTCTATTAGCTGTCAAGTTACCTTTACCCACCTCTTCCTTCTTCAGCTGAGCAGTCTTTTGGTTGCGTTCCATTAAGTGTGTGCGTGCCATGGCTGCCTCTTCATAACTAATGCGTCCCTCCAAACGTCTGCGCTCAACGGCGGCCAGCTCCTCTTGAAGATCCCTCTCACGCATCTCCTTCTGCCAGTGTAGGAAGGACGATGGCTCACGGCCTCCCTCCACAAGACGCTCCATTCTGTATTACAAATACAAGGAAAGACTTTTATTATCTTTTCAGAAGAGACCTGAGAACACATTTCCAACATGAGTTCAGGGTGTGTGGTGAATTTTCTAAAGTTGGATTGATAAGCATTGTAATTCATCTTACCTCAGCTACTCAGCTGGTGTTCCACAAGGCTCTATTTGGGAACAATCCTGTTTAGCCTTTATATTAAGGATTTATCAAATATTTGTCAAGATCTGTATACCTTTGCAGCTCCTCCTCAGCCTGACGGTCAAATAGCGCCCCTTGCCTCAGGATTGCAGCACTATTAAGCTTGATGGGCCAGTTGTTAGTCTGAACAGAATAAAAAAAACATCATATCAGTGGATTTTATACCTTCATAAATGAACAGCCTTCACTACCATATTTTTCCAGGGGAGTAAAATATTAAAATATCACCTTTTTTCTGGAAGGACATCGAGAGGACTGAAATGAGTTGAACTTTAGTTTTGAATCAAAATCCTCCCTAATCTGAGACACTACTTTCTGTAAAACAACCAATGGTTCATCAGACATTTGAACAAACTTTGACCATTTTTATGAATATGTAGAAAGTTCATGTTTCTTATAAAGAGAAATATAAAGAAAACGAGCTGATACCTTGGTGTGTTCGGACTTCTGCATGTTTCCGCATCTGAACTGTTTCATGTTTGCTTCATAGAGCAGTTCCTTTGTAAAAACCAGACAAGATGTCATTACAGATGCATGCGATTTAGCAGGTATAATCGCTGATCATGACAATTATTTTGACAGTAGTCAGTAGCTACTTTAGCAGATATATTTGAAAAAAAATCTGTTTTGGTTTGCTGTTATATCAAATATGTCTCCATGTTTTAATGAACTGTTAAAACTTAATGTTAAGACATTGTACCTCAGTCTTTTGATGGTTCTTCTGTTTGATCTCCTCTATCATCTGAATCTCTTTAGGAGGCCTATAAGTGCTACTTGGTACCTATAAAACAAAATTCATTTAAGTCATGCAATACAAATTATACATCTTGATTACCTGTGCTGTCTACTTTCACTTTACCATGCAATAAACACAATCAAATGGCCGGCAATGTCTGAAGGAAATACTGTGTATGACTGTAAAAGAGACTGACTGGTTTGCATTTCTCCTGCTGTGGTATGAACTCAGGCAGAGGGAGAGCTGAAGGTTTAGGTTTGGTGAGAGAAAACTCCTTGGGCTCGGTGGTTTTAGCCGGGGCTTTTTTGGTCTGAGTCCCTTGAGATATTTTCAGAGAAAGCTGGTCCAAGAAAATATTGATCTCAGGGCGCCATCTAAAGGACAAATAGACACATGCTATATTTTCTTGCCTTTGAGTAACACACGATGCCTTAAAAATAACTTTCCTGATCTAACCTTAGCAGAGGACCAATCCAGTGTTTCTCAACATAGGCAGCATCATAGATTGTATTCCATTCTTCTTGTATCCATGTGGTGAGGTTTGTGAAGAAGAAATCCAGGAACTACACGCAAACCCAATGAAAGAAGGCAAAGTAAATGGGCTTTTAACGGCTGGTAACTTCCATTGCAACAACTATAGTCAGAAATTGAGTTTTCTTACCGTGTGCATCTTATTGATGTCCAGAGATTTGACAATTTTGCTAAAATGCTGTAGTCCAATGTCATCAAGGGCAAAAATGGCCAGGTAACAGATAACTAGAGACAAATAGAATTCTGTTAAAGGCAATTTTTATTCTTCAGAAAATTGGTAGAGAGTAGGCTAGCCAACATGTTTTGTTCTTCAACTTACTGGCAAACTGGCTGCGATCACCTCTGGATATGCACTTTCCATTATGGCCATAGAATACATTGATAACTGCGTCCAGTAACTTGTTCTGCTCGGCACATCCAGAAACGATATCAAGTATGAACTTCTTCTGAAGAGTGTCCATGTTCTGCAAATAATTACAAACGTGGCATTCAGGAGTAAGCTCAAGCAGCCTCGGGATATAAGATAAGATAAAGATAAGATATACTTTATTCATCCCAGCAGGGAAATGTAAGTGTTCCAGCAGCCAGCATACATACAAACAATATCTGAGTCGTCCTGTACAGAAGCCATACCTGCAGATCCTTTGAAGCATCTTCAATGAAGTCATCCAAAAACTGTCTGCCTGCACTGAACTTATCGAGCAGTACAATGGCCTCCTTGGCAAGCAATGCATAGCTTGGTGCCATTTTATATCGACCTGTAAGCTAGAGGAGACTGGTGAAGAGGTCTTTGCAAACAGAAAAGCCCTCAAAAATACAATGTATCATCTATGCACACAGATTAAAAAAACAAAACGTTATTCATCCTCAGAGAAACCAAAAAAAGCTTGCTTTGTATTAGATAAAACATAAATTAACATAAAGTAGGATTGAAATAGGGAAATGAACAAATCTGCTTGTTTTCAGCGCGAACCGTTGCCACGTTCAGTCGTCGCTTAGCAACAAACGTAAACACAAATGTGTCCCAGCTCGAGCTTCTAATTTTGATGAGCTGCACATAAAAAAACAGGAAATATCAACAGAAATTTTATTTGCAGACAGGTTTTTGTTTAAAATAATAATAATATTAGGCTGCTGTGTTCAACGTATAAAACAAAAGTCACCGGTTTAAATCAGTCGTATGCAGATTATTAGAGTGACATCCGGATCCTTTGTTGTCTGCTATAACAAAATAATGACGTAGCATATTGTGACGTCTGTGCGAGCCTTGCGCTGCCTTCACGTGCTATTGGAAAAGTTGCATTAGAACATCTTCATGCATAATGCAGCATAGAAAGATGAAAACAATGATACAATATAAAAATGGAACTAAAGTAATCATTCAAGTAATTATTACATGGAAATTTACTAAATTCTTAACTGGGTTTTGAGGGGTATGTGGGGTAGCCTAAAACTGATTTATAAGCAGCTATACTGAACAAATAACATGCAACCTTGAGTTTTAGAGAAATATGAGTCACAACGCAGTGCCATGATCTAATTTACACAAGCAGATATTATGAGCTTGTCAACCAAGACGTTGTGATGTCACTCTGGTTAAATAGCCTACATACTTTTTGATGTTAGTGTTGCTGTAGACCAGGGATGGGCAACTTTGGTCACAACAAGGGACACATTCATTTAGTTCTCACTGCCAGAGGGCCAAATTGTAGAATACAAAAGCGATTACAGTCAATTATGTCTCAAATTTATCTCAACATATACCAGTGATCAAATATTATGAACCACCTATTTCTGGTTTTCACTATTTCATGGCAGATTTTGTCATGTTTTCTTCATGTTCCAATTAATTGATGTGTCAAAATTGACCTGAGGGCCACATTGAGGGTTGATGGGGGCCGCATGTGGCCCACCCCTGATGTAGATCAACCATTTTTAATCTCAACGTAATAAGTCCTAAAACTGTCAGAATAAGCTGTGGGAATCATATGAAGGAATTTACATGAAGTCTTATTTTGAATGGGCCATACAAACTCAGTCATCAACCCTCTGTTGATGAACAACTTTAGGTAAGGTTGAAGCTCAAGAAAAAAATGGAGTGGACCTGTTTTGACAAAAAAAATGAATTGTCACAATTACTTGACATTTCTGATTGCAGGTTCTCTGAGTAACTTTAAATAAAGTCCCCTTGCACTTAACACCTCATCTTATTGTTTCTATATGCCTATTAGCATGACCCCAAAAGTGCAGAGTAAAGCACTGAGAGAAGTTTAGTTTAGTTTAGTTTAGATGTTTATTGCCATTTGCACAGGTACAGGACAGTACAGGTACACTGGAATTCTTGTGCGTTTCTCCCTGAGTCAGCTTCTACAAAAAAGTTAAAATTATATATAAAATAGAATAGCATTGTAAAAAAAAAAAAAAAGAAAGAGTACAAAAAAGTAAAAATAAATAAGTCGTATTAACAGCTAAGATATAATACAAAAAAATAAATAACAAAGGGGAACACTGTACAGAGAGGAAAGAATTTCCAACAGTTTTTTTTACATTCACTCAGCAAAAGAGGGGTGACGAGGAGAACAGTATTTGGGAGTGGCCCGTGAAGGCATCATTTCCTGGGAAAGTGGGAGGTGAATGTTGTCAACGTGACTGTCATCAAGTAACGTTAGAGGAGCAGAGAGCAGCAGAGCCGTCGGTGCTCCGCTTGTCTGTGTCGGCGGGAGAGACGGGCAGCATAACTCAGGATTCAGCGAAGATGGAAATAAGTCTCTGTTTTCGATTATCTCCCTTGTGCGCCTTCACAGCCGTGTTGTAACCTTCGCGGCGACTTGATTGTGTTTTGTACATTTTTCCCCGTTTTTTTTTTTTTTTTTGGAACCAGCCAAGCGCCAGCTAGCTTAGCGGCCAATACTGTCAGACAAACACAGGTACAAGGAGAGGAGAGAGGAGGTTGACAAAGGAAGGTGGCGAGGAAACGATGAACCGCTTTCGAAAGTGGCTGTACAAGCCTAAGGTGAGTTGTCCGTGAACCACACGCTCTGTCAGCCCCACATTCAGTCATTTTTTTTTTTTTTTAAGAGCACAGCTTTTGGATATCCAGCTAGCAAAGCAGCCGCTACCATGAACACTTCATACACTTACCTCACATCTGCTAACGTTAGCCCTGATGTTTCACCGTATTAACCAAGCAGCAGCTTTCCCTTTGTTGTTGTTGTTGTTGTTGTTGATGATGCTTTTGATTTTAGGCGCTTGCCAGGTTTAACAACATCACTGTCGGGCAAAGTACACAGAAATGTATTGATTAACTTGGAGCTGAATCAGCTGACAGTGCCATCAATGTTCTGATGAAGGAATTCTTTTTCACTGTTATTGTCAAGAAATATTAGTTTTTATTAATAGATCCCCACAAATCGTGCTAACAAATGATTAAATTAAAAAAAAAATAGGCTTATAACTAATGTCATGACCGTTTAAAAAAAAAAGAAACATGTCGAGAGTAAAATAGTTTTTATTGAAAAGTAATTAAAAGGTCGTATTGTATTATGTTGTTAGTTCATTTATCAATCAATCAGCCATCCAATCAGCTTACACTTTCAATTAACTGATAAATTATTCAGTCTATAAAATCAAAATCCTTCATTATTTATCATCTCGAGACAAAAGTAAGATAAACGTCACTATTGTCAAGTAGGAACAAAGGTTCATATTTGTCATTTAAGCTTGAAAAATGACAACGACACATTTGTTTTCTTAAATAGTTGGCAACCAATTAAGTCAATTATTGTGTGATCCGATCTCTAGTCCTCTCAGCTCTGCAGCACATGGATGGCTTTGATTTATTTTGTACACATTATCTGAAACTGAATGAAATGTTGGAAGGCTCATCATGACACGATTCATAGTCACTATTGAGGTGAGCTAATGGATGTGCTGTGATGCTTTAAAGAAAACTCAAGAGTGTGGAAACGCGCCTGACACAGCAGAGTTAACATGAAGGCTTGCTGGTTTTGTTAAATGAACAGCTTAATAAATGCAGACTGCAGCACTTTTTGGATCAGCATGTGAACATTTCTCCTGGATGGGGATTCTGGATATATATACTAAGGGTTTAGAGGGTGACACTTTAAACCCACTACTCCTAAATCAACAACTTTTCACACACAACTGCAGAGATCTTAAGAACGTTGAGTTATTAAACTCCAAGCTGATCTATTTCTTGAGAATCGTGAGCTTTGGATGTTGTAATATTTAACATGGGTTTATAGCTGCTATGCACTCATAACCTTGCCCTAATTACTCACACTGTATGCTCAACCACTTGTACAACACCGTACTGTAAGGTAGCCTCTTCAGGATGTTGGCTGTAATGAGTTTGTTACATATTACTTTAAAAGAAAAGATATGTGAAACAGAAAAACAGAAAATAAATTCCTCAAACAGTTTGTACTTAATCAAAAATCTGTGACTGAAAGTTAAACGTCCTCTTCATTGTACCTACTGGAGTCCAAAGTCAACAGGCTAAGTGTTTCTAATACATGTTGATCCTTTTGTATATTGACATAAAAGCTGTTTGTTGAGTGTGTTCCTTGGCCTACAAAATCAACATTTTTGCTTTGCTCTAAGGTTTTTGTAGACACATATTCCCCATTGTCAAATAATTGGAGTTCTTGCAACAGTAATGTTAGCCTGGGATGAAATGAAAAGCCTGTGATTATAGATTATCAACCTGCCCTTAACCACATTCAAACACCTGCGTCACTCCTCTTCTCTGTTTGACCATGTCTGCTGTCACAGCAGTTTGGCGGTCCATTGTCAGGGTTAGGCCTAAGTGTTGGGGTTCACCAGAGCATTGTCACACTCGTGAATGACCGCTCACTCTGAAGTGCTGAGCTATGACATCAGTGCCTTTTCTGCCAAATCACAGCCGTGGTAGGAATTAGCTGAATAACACATAAGTCTGTTGGTTGAAATGACCTGTTCTGCCTAGAAGGAGAGAAGGGAAAAGTTCAAAAAGCCTTGGTAATTATACAGATCAGTTTTAAAGACAACAGTAATGAAAGGAGGGTGATCACTTTATGCTCCTGCTACTGATCAGCAGCTTAGCTTGCAAGTAGTTTGTCTCTTTTGCAGAGCGAAAACATTTCTGTGGTAATCAAAATCTGTTTCCGACCTGCATATTCTGGCGTTTAGAGTTGTCCACCGCACAGCGTTGTCATTCTGCATCAGGTCGTTTATTATTGAACTATGTTCTCTTGGAGACGGAAAAGCGTCGAATCAGCATGTTCCCTTGACTGAAGCGGCGCTATTGATATTTCCAGAGCTCCTCTTTAACTACCTAGATAAGTCCCACTGAGGAGGACTTTGTTTTCGCCCCTGCTACACAGTTCCCTTCCCCGTTTGTTTGAGTGCAGTGTGCAGCTCCGTGCAGGACGGTATGTACCTGTCTATCCTGTGTGACTCTGTCGTCAAAGTTGCCAACTTGTGGAGGGAGATGCTTGTGCAAGAATATATTGTCCCTGTCTTCTGTAGGGAGAGAGACTTGTCAAAAGTAAGGCATTCATGTGTGAAGTGACATTTCTTTCATTCCTTCCAGGCCTTCAAACCGGTTCAGCTGTTTTTTTTTTTATGTGAATGGTGTGCCTTTAATTCCCCCAAATATCTACAAAGAAGGTTTCCCTACTTGTTTAAGCTATTTTTCAGGTGTGTAGTGACGAACTTTGACCGTACACGCTGCCGAGAAGCTTTTTACAAAAGGTGAGAAGCAAAGAAAATAATCCGGTGGGGTTTTTCTGCTTCATCACACATCTTTGCTGTCCAAAACAAAGACGAGATATGTCTCAGTTCCAACCAGCCAAAATGGCTACTGTCTCCATGCCTCTTATTTATCAGCGCTAGACTTACAGAGTGACTGATGGCGTGAGAGAGATGTCAGGAAGCTAAACCCTCCACACTTCCTCTGTAGCCTGTTTCCCCCCTCCTGGTTGTTTACTCCATCAGGCGTTCAGGAGCTGACCTTCAGCGTCACACCACCTCATCTGTCAGTTTGACGGGGCTCACGGCTCGCACCAGGCCCGGGTGCACTCACCTCCATCTACAGGATACTTCTAATTTGCCTCTCATTTCTCCCCTTTCTCCTCTCTGGACAGTTCGGTGCGTCGGTAGCGGATACTTTCTGGCTCTCCTCCTTATTGAAATGTCAGACAGACATCACTGTGTAACTCTGTAGGTTGTTTGCAATTGTAAGAACATTTGTAATGTTAATGCCTGACAGCTCTGATAAGGTCATCAAACATTTGACAGTTTACAGATTGTTGAGAAATCATCTTTTAAATGTAAGACATCTCAACAACAAAGAAGACTTGTTACAAAGAAAAGTTCCCGTTTTTTATTTTTTGTAACATTATTCTTATAATGAAGCAAAATACCAATTTTGACTCATCACACACAACTACAGTTTACAGTGCAATGTTTTCTTTTGGCAGTCTTTATGATTTATCTGCATTTGAAAAAACAAGGTTAATTTCTGTGCATAAATTATTTAATTATACAGTTTTCTAGATGTATCAAATTATAATGTGTATTATGACATGCCATGGTAAACTCAAGTGGAAGAGCCCCTTTATTATTATTATTGAAACATGAAGAAAACCCAACTAGTATTCACGTAAGATAAGCTTGTGTTGTTGGGCCTTCTTATAGATAGTTTGATGTCTTATCTAATATCCTCCTTGGGCTTAAATCCTTGTGAAGCCATCACAGAAAAATGATCTGCAATTATTTAAAGAATTGTTTCATCTACCAGAAAAATGACCAACACCTTTTGAGTTCAGTTGTTTTTCATCTGTGAAGTTTTTTAAGAAATTTTAAATGTGTGGGGTTTTTTTTTCATAATCTTCCCAAAAACAAATTATCAGAAAATAATCATCTGCATTTTTTAATCTTTGAATTGATTGAAGCCTGAAAAATTAAGCAAGAAATATGTGTAAGGTTTTTTTGTCAATATTTCTGTACTTTTACCAAGTGTTTTTATAAACATGTTACAAAAATGTTGTATTACATAAATACCTATCATGTATATATTTTCTTATATATTTCACTTCTGAGAAGTGGTTGAATCAGGGCGGCTGACTTCCTCTGTAAGGATTGTTCCTCTTCTGTACTTGGCAGGCTTGTCTGATAGGCTTGTCATGATATTTCTCACCACCTTGTTTGACCCCTCCATTTTCATTTACCAGTCTCCCCTGGTTTGTTTGAGGATGTTGCCAACATGCAAACTGAAGAACCGAGAGCAGACAAGGCAGTTAGGGTCTTTGCAGACTTGGTCCTTCGCAGTTGGCAGGAAGTTGATGGAAGAGTGAACAGTAAAACTGCTGAGCAGCGGCCAGGGTAGCTTCATATTTAGCCTCGTTTCTGAACTTCTTTGTGGATGTCCCATTCTGCTTACCCACCAGCCATGCGGTCATTGATTTGGTGTCAGTTGCAGTGATTTAGAGAGCTGACTGTAGTGCAGATCGAGACATGCCGGGCGATAGAGGGCCTTTTTAAATGCATTGCAGGATTGGGGAATCAGGGCCCGGTGTCGGAGTGCAATGATTGAGGGGAAGATGTTTCGGTAGCAGAGCAAGATTTAAAGGTAACGCAGATAATCAGTGAGTACTGATATCGATGCACTGATCTTCCACAGCTGGTTTCTTATCAGTAATACTTTTGTCCCTTTCTGATCAAGAGCTTTTTCAATTCCCTATTTTCATTGTCACTGATGATAAACATAAAGCATGCACTCAAGGTGCCCGTTGTTTATCTGTATTATGAGCCCATAAGAAGAGCCAGAAAATGAAAAAAACAACCCTCCTGCTCCTTGCTGTGTCTCCTCAGCAGGGTAGGACGAAGGGAAAGAAGGAGAACAGTGGGCTGGTATTTTTGGGATTAGATTTTGGCCTCAGTTACAGTTGGCAAGAGATAAATGAAAGGATGCTGTTCTTTAGGAGCTGTAGTGTTCCTTTTTTACTGGATACAATGGTTTCTAACGATGAGAAATCCTGAGAGATTATTCACACGCAATGATCTTTTTACTTGTAATTTAACAAATTAGTAAATATATTTAATGGATTAATATGCCTGAGTGGATTACAAAATAAAACCTTGTGTTGTTTAAATTTCATTTTATTTATAAATTTGCCAAAATATAATCATCAATATTTATGAGTTTAAGTATTATTGGTCTTAAAAGATTCTTTAATTTAAGACATGCTAGTCATTTCTGTTGCTGATGTAATCGTATAAAATTACAGGGTGTGCATTTCCAACCAGACTTGTCCACTCCATGAAAAGTTGTTGACTCTGTCGATCTGAAATTCATTTCCCCCTCTTTCACCACAATTTATCAGCCAGTTCTGGATTGTATAAACAGATTATTTCTTGCATAAGAACTTTCCCTCTGGTTCTGAGGAGCAAGGTGTCCCCAAGTGTTGACATCAGGGGATCCAGGGCACACTGTGCGCGTAGACACCCGAATTCTCTGCACCCCTCTACCTCATGCCTCGGCCTGTCAGGCTAAAACATGTGCCGGCACACGCACAGGTCATAGCTCGGTCCAAAAAGCCAGATTAGGGTTGCCCTCTGACTGGAGCCAGGCGCACAGATAATAACATCAGTCCAGATGTGCAGACCACTCTGAATAGATTGAGTTGAGTCTGTTTGCCGTTGTGGATCCAGTTTCCAGATGGTTAACCCAGGGAGTATTTATCAGCAATCTGTGATCAGAGTCATCAGTTTAATCCCACATTTGTTGAAGATAGTTAAAAGGTTTTATCAGTAACTCAGCAGCTGCAGAAAACAACATAAAAGTGTGGACAGAAATTCCTGATGTAAGCTGAACATAACAGAGTGACTCAACACAAGTGAACCCTACCTGAGCAGAACACTGCATTTTGAGAATGATATGACTTTATATTCTAACTTAATACAAATAATGGCCGAAAAAAGAGAAAGTTTCCTTGTTTGTTATCAGAATGATTTGCTGGCCCCTGCCAGGGCTTTTATGCTGAGCCCTGAATAATAAATAAGGCGATGAACTGTATCCGGCTGCTTTTAGCCAGTCTGCCAACTGACTGGATGAAGCAGAGTGAACTGGTTTCCCCCCTACGATATTCGCCTCTGATCCTTGGATGGAGGCCAGAAGGCAGAGAATTGAGCCTGGAGTTGAGTATGGAGGGCAGAGGCAAGGTTTCTCATAAGTCCCCTAAGTGGGCTCAGTCTGCACGCATCGATGCTATGGATGCTCATGGGCATTAGCCTGACAGTCTCCATCATCCGCACAGTGGCTCAAGGAGAACGCTTTCTGAGATGATGCGCACCGTACGGCAGCCAGCATCTCTCAGTAACACGTTTCAATAAGAGTCACGCGCTCAGCGCCTGTTATTGATTTCATGTTAAACAAAAGTGACAGAAATTTCACAGTCATTGTGGAATGATGAGATTGAAGGGCCTTAACCGTAATTGTCACTTTGGATGAGGTTGTGGGAGCCTAATCGTCTCAAATGAAGGCTTTGTGACCGCGGTGGAGAGAGTTTTTGAGTCATTTTAAAGAGAGGGCGCCCAGGACAACTGACAGCAGGAGTAGAACAGGAGAGAGGCGCGCCACAGGGGACAGAAGGAGAATCTGCTGAATCATTTCCTCACTTAGACAAGGTAGAGCTGTCATTGGGGGTGATGACGCAAATCTGCAAGTTCAGGAGTCAGATCCCAAGAAGATAACACACTCAACTCTTGTACAACTGTATGTTTTACCCAGGAAGTTGATTGACTTCTGCTTTTTAATTTTATTATTACATAATTTTTTCTTCATCTCTCGCCTTATGTATTGTATGAAGTAGTTTTTAAAACGTATTTAAAAGTGACAGGTTAGTGTAATCCCTCATGCTTTTTTAAACAATTTACTCTATACATATACAGTCAAGGCCAGTACTCTGTGCCAACATGTGTTATGTAAGCATCTGAAAAGAGCCACTTGTTTCAACAGACAGCTTGCCTTTTTGCTTTCACAGTCTAAAATCATCATCACTGACTCATAGTCCATATAACAAGATAAATACGACTGTCCAAGGCTCCAAGTCCAGATTTGAATTTCAAACAAAGGATTTGTCTGTATTTTACGACTTGCTTGGTCTATCTTCTACAGTGAATCAAAGGCACTAACTGTGCAGAACTGAGTTGAGATGTTCATTGATTGTAAGTACAATTACTACTTTGACTTGTGCAGTAAAACCAGGATTTGGCTGCAAAAGCTGTTCGAAAGTAAGTTTTGCATATACAGACTTTCTATTGTGTTTATCTGTGGCAAGGAAAAGTCTTTTATGCCATCCAATCAAAAGCAGCCCTCAATGTAAACGGGAAGGTTACAACCGAGTAAGTTGTATCATTAACGTTTGCTCCGTTGGTTACGCTAACTTTACAGCTGCTAAAAGTCAGTCAATTCTTTATTATGCATCATGTGTTTTATATAATAACATCTCACTCAATATATGTCACGGGCCATGTCGACATTTGTCCATTCCTTTTTTTTATTCTACACTTTAAGACATGCGTCAGCACCATAATGTTCTCTTTCTCTGATGTTTCATTTAGCTTTATGACAGTTACAAGGTGCAAATGTTACGTAACAGCAACAACTGAGAACTAGTTTGGGTGCTTTTTTTTTTTAAAGATGTCTTTTTGGTCTCATTGCCGATATTTGATAGGACAGTGGATAGAGTAGGAAATCGGGGAGAGATGAAGGAATGGCATGCAGAAAAAGAGCTGCAGGTTAGAACGCCTGCCTGGAGGACTAAAACCTCTGTATGTGGCGTTGCCTGTGCAGCATAACCGCTTGGCCATCTGCGCACCCAGGAAGAATTTATAAAAGGTACAAAGAGCTTCTGCTCATACTGGTGTCAAGACAGCGGCCAAAGTAGACAGCAATTTAATACACTTTAAAAACACTCATTTACAACCTCACTCTGTTTTCTTGTCATTTCTTTCTTTTATCCTTTTTTAATATTTGATCAATTATTTCTGCATTTTACACAAAAACTATCAGACAGAGCATTGCTGCCTCTCAGAAAGTGTATCAGCGTGTCTTTGACTTTTCTCCCATGATGCAATGCTGAAGGAATGTTGCCTCCTGTGTGAGGAATGCAGCAGGAGGAGGCTAAAGGAGGGCGTCAGTCTCAAATACTTCTTATCGTCTTCTGTCAGCGTTGGCATGTCTATATGCCTCAAAAAGCTCCGAATGAATGCCACCACTGTGGGCCAAGAAAAAGGTCTTTCTCTGTGCCCCACTTCTGTTTCCATTTGGTCATCATGACATTTGTGACATAGACTCAGTCATTGTTGGGCAGTTGTGTAAAAGTTCAGTAATTCTGTCTGTTGACTGGTGATATCATTGCCTTTGTCACCGTTCAGAGATTATATTTGTATTAGTCAAGGGGGTTTTTGCTTCCTCATGTTTGATTAAGATTTCCTCTTTGCTCTCTTCCCATTAGCCTACACACTCTGAGAAGCCCACTCCATTTTTTTCCCATTATTTTGACAACAATGCAATGATGAATAATACTATTTACAGTGTTCTCTCTTTCTATTGTGTGCTACAACACTGTGGGTGTCTAACCCAGTTCTCCACTGATTATTTTTACATACAGCATGTGTGACCTTGTTAAGAAGGAATACTGGAGGAGAGTAGGAAAAAGGGTAAAGCCTTTGGAATTCCCGAAAAACAAAAATGTGTGAATGTTATAGATTTTCTCCCATGTGTGACAAACTTGGTGTAAAGCTGGCAGGTATTTATTTGACTGAAATACCAATCTGCTTAAAATCGAGGGCTGCAGGTCAGTTACTGACCGTAATGCAGCTCTGATTTGCAACAGCCATAAAAAACTAACAAAGTAGTGAACTGCAAACTCAAATTTAACATATTTAATTACTATAACAGTTACCTTTCTTTCAACTGCGTAAAACAGTTGATCATTTTTTGATTAAAAAATATACTTCTGTCAGGTTTTTTCCTTCCCATGTTGTTATGATTACTTGACTTGAGACATATCTCAGTTTTTAAATAACCTTTAAGACATTCAAAATCTTTCCCCCCCTCACAGAAATAATGCGACAAGTACCCTCGCTCTAGGTTATATCTCTGTGTTTTCTCCTTGCTGTTTGTTTCATTTTTAATGAGAGAGGGTGAGGGAACAGCGCCATGTATCATATTCAGAGTCAGAGAGAGAAGCTCGGGGCCCACAGGGGGGGGAACATCACGCAACAGGAAGCACCGCAAACTTAAGAGAAAAGGGTCCTGTGAGAGCCTTTCTGGAAATACCGGTATTCAGTTTGATTTCATGAAAAACATTTCTAGATAGTCATGGCAGGCAAACAAGTCTGTTTATGAGGTAGCTCTAGCTTCCTCTAGCCTGCACAGTCACGCTGTCCTCTTCAGCTCCTGTACTGTCATCAGGTTCATGTGGTGTGTGTTGATCCATTTCTGCATGTGGGCTCCATTTTCCAAACCATTAACCTTTCCATCAACGTGAGCCCTCCCTGGGATGTGTGTGTTTGTGTGTCTGTGTGTGTGTGTGTTGGTCTCATGATTAAGAAATTAGCATCTTGATTATGCTGTGAAACTCAATTTTGAATTTCATTTTTCATGTAAGTGATACAAATCAGTTAGTATGTTTACATTATTGCTGTATCAGTGATTCCTTCCTAACCTGTGATGAGGCGCTGTGTGCACTTCTCACCCAGCAGAGGAATAAGTTGCTGCACCGTCCCACACACACACACACACGCGCACGCGCACACGCACACGCACACACACACACACACACACACACACACACTGAGGAGAGTGTAACATCCTCTACCAAGGTCTGGCTCTCTAAATATACCTCCTCTTCTGGGGAGCGTCACACTATATTAACCTTTGACGACTCCTCTTGTCAGACTTCATGACATTTTTTTTGATCATTCACTGTCCCATACATGTTGACACTTTTCCTTCATTCACATTTGGTTTATTTGCACATTTCAGTGTATGGTCATTTCACTACACTGTCTGTTATTGTCTTTAAATAAGCATTAGTAAGGAAAAATCAGTTTGGTCTGGTAGCTGCTCAACAACAGAGTGTCAAATTTAGTAAATTATATCTACTTTTTCTGTTAACACTGATGAGCTGTAGTAGCACAGTGTTCACGTAAACAGGACACCTGCTGAACAACATAGTATGTAATTCATGTGCCAACTAGCCCACTGTTAGAATGCATGACACTATGTTTCACTCATGTACACATTTAAACAGTCTTCTTCTTAATTTACTCACTAATGCAATAAATGGACTCAACAGCTAGAGCATATCCAAATGGCTCAAATATACTGTAGCATATTACCACTGATAGTCCTCACTCTGCATTGTTGCTGTTTACTCTATGCATGACATAAATAATTTAGTCATTACGGGATTACACAGAGGGTTTAGAAGTGTATTCATAAGTCTTGCAGTATAAAAAGACTTGATTTTCTGTCTCAGTGATCCCTTGATAACAGCAAAACACAGCGTGCTCTCTTTAGACTTCAAAGTTATCCTAGCTTCACCTGGCCTGCACGCTGTTAAAGCTGAATAACGTTGTATCTGCTTTAATATTCAGTGATTTCCTCTATAGATGTTGTTGTGAATTGTGACAAGTAAGTCCAACTAGTTTGGGATTTTTATGACTACAAGCAACGCCAATTTTTAGACTAAGAATGAATCGATCACTGGTATTTCAGCAGATATATCGAATATTTGAGTCGAAATGGACAAAAGAATGCGTTTTGTTTTGCGGTGGTTATAGGGATGACATTTTCTAAATCAAAACTTCTGGCCAATAATCTCTGCTAAAGTAAAGTTAGAAGTAAAAATCCCCAAATTGTATTTGTGACCCACTGGAGATGACAGCGTTCTAACAAAATAACCTTTTTCCTTTGTTGAAGTAATGACTTGATTTTTAAAAGCTGTTTGTAGCATTACAGAAGGGTCAGGCTTTTGCACTAAAAAACTAACAAACAAGACAAAAATGTAAGCTGTCAATCAGTCAGTTCATCACTTTGTGCCATTTTCCAGGATTTAACATCTCATAAATAATGTAAATTATGTTTATGCACGAGATCGAAGAATGAGAAAAACACACATTACGACTCAGTCCTGTAAAACGTAAAGAGGAGGTATTCCCTTTGTAATCCAAATAATGAATCATATTAGTTTTTCATGATTGATTTGTGTTGTTCTTGTGATGAAAACATTCTCTGCATCATGCCCTCCTTTGTGTTCTTTTGCAGAGGACGGACCCTCAGCTCCTGGCCCAGTTCTACTACGCTGATGAAGAACTGAATCAAGTGGCCACCGAGCTGGACGGCCTCGATGGCAGGAAGGACCCTCAGAGATGTACCCTGCTGGTCAACCAATTCCGCTCTTGTCAGGTCAGCATGGACCTTCTGTAGCTTTCATTTGATCATCTTAATTACATCATTTTTTTAACAAGCAGTGCGATTTTGTTCTTAGAGCATTCATTACTACTAAACAAATAAAGCTGGTGTAGATTTAAAGGATGCTTAAAAAAACAGTCAGATTGTGGAATGAAGATTAACATAGATTTTGCTTGCTGTTATCAATCTGCTGTTTACTCATAATAGTCATTGATCCCTTCTTAATGTTCCTCCAGTGAAAGTGGTGGATATTCTTCTTACTCTATTCAAAAGTGTACTTGTAAAAGCTGAAGAATCCCGGGATACATCATCACCTGGTTGGACCTTGTTTGGCCTGAAAACTAAAAATAGACAACACCTTTATCACCCTGTTTCCAGACACATGCGTTATTATATGACTGTTGCCCTACTTAACATTGTTTGGCCAAGTTTTTTTTATCAGCAGCAGTTTTGTTGATAAGAGGAGACCTTGTTGGGACTAGGATGCATGTCATGCTGGTTTACTGGTGAATCTGGTTACAAGAGCGTCTTCTTTAGTAAAGGGCATTTAACTCTGATTGAGACAAGGAAAAAGCTTTCTGAGCGTCCATACTTTGTCCAGAATGGGTCTTTCTCTTTTTTGGCTTTTTGCTCCAACTAATAAAGCAGACACAAAATAAGTTTTTAGTGCAGAGTTTACAGGAAGTTCTTTTTGTAAATTGTGATACAGGTTATTGTTTAAGGTCTTCATGTCAGGGCTGAGAGGAGCTCAGAACGTGTAGCTGTGCATGACTGATGGCTGCCGCACTCAATCATGCTGGGAGAGGTGGAGGTGGTTTACGGAGGTCGTCATCTGGCCCGTTGTGCCTTAGCCTCCCCCCACCGCCACAGCACAGGGGGAGGATCACTTAATAAGGTCATCACTTGGTCCCCGACTGTTCTGCATCTTCCCCTTCAATCCGTCCTCCTACCAATCTGTCATCTTGTTTTTCTTTTTTTCTTTCTCTGTTTATTGTTCTGATGCATCTTTTGTTGAGGTTTTTACCTCTGAGGTTTCTTTAAACCTAATTTTTGTTTATTCCTCTCAAATGTTTCAGGCTTTTAAGCAGTTTTGTCTGACTAATTTGTGTCTGTGTTCTTATTTAGTCTCTGATTTGATGACCTTAAGTTGCAGTTAAAATGTTTAGCAGTAAGTTCTCAGCCCTTGTATGTGTCCATAGAGGAGTCTTTTCAGTTGCATACCTCCTCAAGGGTTTGGACACAGAATTAAGAAGCATGATACCCCACAGCCCAGAGGCCCCAAGAATAGAAGGCGAGTGCACTCAAGCCAACATTTTGCACTTAAACCTGCCACTGCAGATATCAGCTCTTATTCACGGCCCTCTGTGGGGGTTTCTGGCATGCTGCTCATATTATGTTGGCACGGCTGTTCTTACAGCACGGCCTGCTGGAATGGGCGAGCAAGTAAGTGTGTGTTTTGAGATGGACAAAGATTGAGGCATGCACAGAGAGAGAGAGAGAGAGAGAGAGAGGGAGAGAGAGAAATATAAACTTTAAAAAGGGAGCGGAGCCAGCCTTTTGTGACTCTGGTGCTTCAGGTATCACACAAGAGTCACTACCTTTGAATGATTTGAAACAATAGAAGTGAAGGTTATCATGGGTGTCCCCTGCTGGGTGAGGCTCACTGACAGCCGGTTTTGTTCCCAGACAGGTCCAGGACACACACACGCACACAGCAAGCAGCCATAAAGGAATCGGTGGTTAAGCTCTCCTTCTCAAAGCTTTTTAATCTTTCTCCTCGGGGCAGGCAGAGAAAGACGCAGTGCTGTGCCTGACAAGATTACAGTGCACAGTGCAGCTGCGGTTGAGTGAAAGGCTCATTGTAAGTCATTGTTATGGCTGTTGTACATGCCAGCGGCACATAAGCTCATGATTAGCTCTTGCTGTGTACGAGTGTGACACTGCGTTTTCACTGCTGGAATTGTGGACTTCAGTTTAGTGTTTTTATTGAGGGAGAATGTAACTGCGAGAGCTTTAATGGTCCCATGTGTTGTCAGATAGTTTTCATTCATTACCTAATCAATGGTGTTAAAGCGCTACAGTACAATGGCCCCTTTGAAAGAGGTGTAGCTCGGATCATTAACACACATTAGTTAAAGTAAACAACTTGGAAAATTGCTTTTCAGAAACTGATTTTTCCTCACTCCTGCTCATGACTTCTACTAGTTTGTTCAATTTAGATTTGTGTCACTCTTATGCTTATCTGCAGGACAATGTGTTGAACATTATCAATCAGATCATGGATGAATGTATCCCCGACGACCGGGCCAACAGAGACTTCTGCGTCAAGTTCCCCGAGGAGATTCGTCATGACAACCTGGCAGGGCAGCTATGGTTTGGGGCCGAGGTAGAGTATTCCCTTCAGTATTGCTGTAGAAGAAAACAACTTTGCACAAGTCCTACACACGTGCACTTTATCTTTATCATCATACAATTTTTAACAAAAGCATTTCAGTTTAATCTTCTGCATAAGGCTGGATCATTTATGATTGATATCTTCCTGTGCAGTGTTTGGCTGCCGGCTCTATCATCATGAACAGGGAGATAGAGAGTATAGCGATGAGGCCCCTGGCTAAGGACCTTACTCGCAGCTTAGAGGAGGTACGTAACATCACCAGAGACCAGGCCCTGAGAGACCTCAACTTGTACTCAGACCGAATGAAGGACGCTCTGCGACATTTTGACAGCCTTTTCGCTGAGTTTGAGCTCAGGTAAATAAAGGATCCAGAAATGATTGCCAATTTTTTGCTATAAAAGTAAATCCCATGTATCATCCTCTTAATGTGTGCACTGTTGTTCTGAAACACCAAACAAAGCTGTCATTTAATTTGTCTTTTTTTTCCATTGCCAGTTATGTGTCAGCCATGGTGCCTGTGAAGTCTCCCAAAGAATATTATGTACAGCAAGAGGTGATTGTGCTCTTCTGTGAGACTGTGGAGAGGTGAGTTCACAGAAAAATACATCCTTCACAGCACTGCGGACTTTGTTTGAAATGTACTAGTATCTAAATCATGTGTGAAGATATAGTGGTTCATTTCTGCTTGTTGTGTTTTCCCCTGTGTTGCTGTCTCAGGGCCCTGAAGCTGGGCTACCTCACACAGGACTTGATCGATGACTATGAACCCGCTCTGATGTTTACAATTCCCAGACTAGCCATTGTGTGGTATGTGTTGCCTGTCCTCTCCATTTGTCTGCCCTGCTCTTTGTTTTGTAATCCCTCCTGCCCTCTCACAGAATTTTAACATTATTTTGTAGTGGGCTGGTTGTGTATTCAGATGGGCCTCTCAACCTTGACCGAAAACCAGAGGACATGTCCGAGCTCTTCCGACCGTTTCGCACTTTATTGAAGAAAATCAGGTAAAGTCTGGAAATAATTAAAAGAATAAATGGTGTCTTTAGCTTGTTCATTTGTTTTTGTCCCTCTTTCAAAAAGCTAAAATTATCTGATGGTGCTTTCCCAGAGACCTGCTGCAGACCCTGACAGAGGAGGAGTTGATCACACTGGAGAAGAATCTGTGTATCTCTCAGGATGGGGAGTTGTCCACGGGCCAGGCACTGGCCACAAACAGCTCACAATCTCCAGTCCAAGAGAATCACTCATCTTGTAAACCCTCTAATGACACCTCTAAGGGGGAGAGTGAGGGGGAGCAGGAGCATCTGGCTCTGTTTGTCTGTCCCAGCCAGGAGGAGGAGCAGACGGAAGTGGAAAAGGCCTGGGAGGAGGTGGAAACAGAGAGGGGGGAGGAAGAACAGGAGCAGGGCCTGCTGTGTGAGGAGGCAGAGGAAGCTGAGTTGGCCTGCTCCATGCAGTACGATGAGGAGGAGCTGGAGCAACTCAACATGATGGTGTACCGCGTGGGAGACGAGATGTCCACCCTGCTTTCGCCTCCCAGCCAGGGTCAGTCCCCGGCACACCAACCAGGCAGAGGAGACTCCAGCGGGGCTTCCAGCTCAGAGGCCTCACCTCGAAGGCTCCTGGTGAGCCGGGGAAGGACAGGCTTCTATGTAGAGGAGGAGGACAGGGTCTTCCTGATGGAGGACCTTGACGCAGCAGGAGACATCACCAGCATCTCAAGAGAGGCGTTTAGTTGTGTCGCCTCTCCATCCAAAACACCTTCTGCAGTTCGCCCTGTGCAGCGTAAACCAAGCCCACGGCTAGACTCTAACAGGAATGGCTGGTTATCTGAGGCCCAGTCAGAGCAGCCATGCCCACAGCCACGGAGCCTCAACGGACACTGTCCTCATGCAAAGCCACCTCCTTGCACCTCTGCTCCTGGCTCAGAACCTCTGCCTTACACTAATGGATGGGACATGGGTTTGGAAGGGACAGCGTCTGAAACAGCTGAGGTCATTGCCCACCGCATGGGTGGGATGAAGCTGTCCGCCACGGTCATCTTCAACCCTCACTCCCCAAGCTTGTCAGAGCTGGCCGTGGACAAGCTGCTTCTGCCGCGGCCTGCTCCCTCTGAGGTCGAGCCATGCGGTCCCCTGGTGGCCACTCACTGCCTGCTCAACTCTTGTGTCTGCTGCGGGAGCTGCGAGGACGGCCATGAGGACGCCATCACCACTGAGAACACTGGACTCGGGTTAGGACTTGCCCTGGGGTTGGACAAACACTGTAAGATGGCAGCCCCCAGCACTGTCATCCAGTCCTCTGCCTGCCGGCTTCCCCCACGAGGTCACGAGTCTAATAATAAGGGAGGGCTTGCCCAGTTTACTCCCCCTTCCTCTCGCTCTTCTGCAGAAACACTGGACGAGGATTCTAACTATCAGCTCTGTGAGAAGTGCCTGTTGGAGCCTAAAGTGCCAGGGCACCATGCACAGGACTGTGGCATCAGCAAAGGGGATGGAGCCTCCCCCTTCAACCACCAGTTGGAGACAGAGAAGAGGCAGCAGGCCAGTGGAGGCCGACAAAGGGACAAAGATACTGAGAATGACAGGTTGGGAACTAGAGACTGGAAGAGGGATACCAAAGAGGACAGCAGGAGAAGCTCCAGGTGCACTGCCATTTCTAAATAATTTTGATTTCTGTTGGTTAACCTATTTTTGGGATATATGAGGTTTTGTCCTATTTCACAGTATCATAACATATCATTTTTTTTAATCATTTTTCAAAATGTCTTTCATTACCTATATCATTCTCTGTGTTTCTTTTACAATTGTGTTTGTTTTATCCTTCATTTATTTATTTTTGCCTTTTTAAACAATTGATTTGGTTGTTTTTAGTTTTCAGAGTTCCCCCCTCAGCTCTGTGTCAGGTAGTGACTGTGAGAGTGTGTCGGTCACCACATGTAGTCTGTCAAGCAGTGCGTACACTCCCAGGTAAACTCATTAATCGTGAATGTGTGTTTCATATGTTTGTTCGTGTTTCTACCTGCCCTCGCTCTGATAGAAACAAAAGCGTCCTCGCCAGATAGATGAAACGACGGCTTTGTTCATATCCAGTCTTTATGCTGGCTTTGTTCACATTCCGCAATTGACTGAAGAGTCAGTCACTCCCTGAAAGGGCTTCATGTGACAGCATTAATTAGCCTCCTGGCCTAGACTGTAAATTTGATCAGACACATGTTGGAGTACTGATTTGTACTGATTTACATGTTGTACTGTATCTTCAGTGATAACAGAAAAACTGAGCAATCAGTAATCTGTAAAGAAATGTTTTCCTTTTGAATTGCTTAAAGTGTTGTTAGCTTGAAGATATTCATTAAAGTCACTGAAAAATGAGCTGATTTGAGTTTAAGAGGACATAATACAAAGTTTCTGTTACCATTCCCTACAGCCCTGTTAGCAGTTTGACACCCAGTTCTGGTACGTCTGAAGACCAAGACCATCAAGAGATCCAGTTGGCCCTGCAAGAGGCTAAGATGGCTGCCAGGAACAAGATCCGATCCCGTTTCCACAGCAGCAGTGACCTCATCCACCGTCTCTTTGTTTGTATATCAGGTAAACACTCTCACTATATTATCACCTCCCCCTCGATGTCTTTGTCTCTCCCTATGCTGATATCCATTATATCCATTATATGTTCTTCTTTGATGCAGGTGTTGCTGATCAGCTGCAGACCAATTATGCCAGTGACCTTCGCAGCATCCTGAAGACTCTATTTGAAGTCATGGCAACAAAGTGTGAGCAGGGAGACAATGATAATCAAAAGAAAGGTGTGAAAAAACACAGACATTTTACTTAAACAAATACTTTCGTGAACCAAACTTTGGGTATGCAGAGTGTTTCCATTGACCTAGATAGTGATCTCAAACTTACAATTGCTTTTAAATGTTTAATATTTGTCTTTAAACTTGTAAAAACTAAATTGTATTAAACGACTTAGCCAAAAAGGACGCTGTCTATGATGAACATCGGCAGTTTTACTTGGCTTTACAGAACATGTTTAGCTATTCAGACTTGTGACTTTAATGTTATGGTTACCATTACTTTTCTCTTGGCGGTGCTTTTTTAACCACAGCAACCCAAAAGTCCTTTGTTCATCCGCTGTTCAACCCCTAAACTTCAGAGAAACAATGTGTAACTAGCTGGTGAATCTAGTGGAACATTATCTAAACAGACTGAAACTTCCCCCCGATGTTGGTAGAATGTAAACATTGCTTAAAGAGAATGAATATCAGGCCTTAATTCATCAGGTGACCAGAAATGTGAGGCCTGCTGGATGTGTTAGTAAGCAGCTGTTTACAATATCAACTCAAAAGTTGATCAAATGTCAGTGATGTGTCAACAACTTGTTTCATCTAACCTCAAAGGGGAAAATATCAGTTTTTGCAATCCTAACTATTTGATAAAACAATATAAATTAGAGACTTAATTTAACTTGTTGGTTTCGTATGACCCCCAACCTAAATTTATTCAGAAGTCCACCATACTTTTATCATATCATGCCTCATCCTGCTTTGGCTAGTCCGCACTCAGTAGTCTCTAGCTTGTGAAGTATGCATCATGCATCAATCTATCACACTAAACACAGTTTTTTTTTGTCTTCTTCTGTGGTTCCCAGCAGGTCCCGTCCTGCGTAGTGCCGTCCTCGAGGACTGTGCTCTTTGTCAGGAGACCATTTCCTCATCAGAATTGGCAGCAAAGGCCCGGGATGGCCAGTTCGAAGGTCAGCAAATCCACAAACAAACCCACACAGTTTAGTTGACATGTCAGCCTGATTCTGTTTGCCATTTTCAATGCAGTACATGTACTTTTGGTGACAGGCCTACTTTGCATTTACTGTATTTTGTTGGAACTGTGTAGACCCCCCGGACTGGGTCCCTGATGAAGCCTGTAACTCCTGCGTTGCTTGCAAGGCTCCCTTTACCGTCATCCGCAGAAAGCATCACTGTAGAAGCTGTGGAAAGGTAAAATGACAAACTAATGACTCATACATGTGTGTTTCCATCATATGGACAGTAACTGATAAATGACATGTCATTTCAGATCTTCTGCTCTCGCTGCTCCTCCCATTCTGCTCCTTTGCCCCGGTATGGCCAGGTGAAGCCTGTCAGGGTTTGCACACACTGCTACATGTTTCACGTCACTCCCTTCTACAGCGACAAGTCCGGCATCTAACCGCTGATGATCACCAAAAGCACAAAGTAGAGAGAAAATGCAACAGACATGTCCAAGGCTGTGTACAAAGCAGACTGCTCATTGTAACAGCTCAGCAAGGCTTCAGGGTAAGACCATACAGATGACAGAACAGAGACAGGAGACGCACAGCCGCGAGTCACCCTGTTCCTGTTGCTTCACAGGGATCGGTGCATCACTGCAAACCAAAGGGTTTGATTTCAGCGCAAAGTCGACACACAAATGATTCACAAATGCCTGACAGACTGTAGAGGTGCAAAAGGGAGAGTGCATGAACAGGCAGTAACAGATTTTGAACTGGCAATGTGCAACAGTCCTCTGTACCATTTAGCAGCACAAAATCAAAGCTGGCTACCTGGTTTGATCCGTTGCTTTTGGTATAATTGAAAGGAAATGTGACAATTTTTTAAATCATTGCTTTAGTGAGCTTCCTACTTTTGTGCCAGAGCTCCAGCAGGACTCAGATTACACTAAAGAATGTAAGTCATGATAACTATGTAAATAAGGATAAATCTGGTCAAAGCTACACTACAATGTCTCCAGTACACAGCTACTACTTATATGGGAACTGGAGAGCAATCATCACCAGGCTTCCAGTCCCAGCAAAGCAAAAATGAACAACTGACAGCTTTTATAATGAGATTTCTCCATGCTCTTACTGGCAATGAATGTGTAATTCTGTATCACTTGGCAGGATGGGGTCTAACGCGTTCCAACACGTTTACCTCTTGATGGCAGCAGGCAGTGCCTTTTGCTTTTAGAGTGATACAACGGCATGTTTAGTTTTCTCTGGGGACTTAGCTGCACTCTGAGATAGATAAAAGGGATTCCTTAGTCATCACTTGCTTTGTTTACATGAACACAGATAATTGGAAAGCATGATCAGAGTAAAATGCTTCATATACACACGTCAATCAGAAGAGACTGATCCGATCTGGCCTTTTAGGAAATACATTTCATTCAGAACGAGAGGGGTGGTTTATGCAGATTGTTGTTCAGATCAATTTTCATGTACACCGTCCAACTGTCAGGACTTGAAGACCTGGTTGACCTCTTTTTACTCAGTGCACCCATCACCATGTTGTGTGCAATTTGTTCTGAACCAGAGGCTTCTTCAGGTGCTGGCCTGCAGACTACAGGGAGGTTAATGCCCAATGAGTTCTCTTACAAACACTAGATATAGTGCAATATTATGACATAATTATCAATGATACCGCACATTTTCTAAACAGCCTTTTGAAATAGAAAGCCATTTCTCTTCGAAAATGTTTAATTCGGGTTTACACTAAATTATTTCTTTGGGTCTTATGGTACAGGAGCAGATATTTTGCTCATGGCTTCCTTTTTCTGCTGTTGAATCTGCTTCCACTGCAATTACAGCATATAATGTTTCTTCCATGCTCAGTAAGTAGGTACATCTGAATGGTCAAAATTGACTAATCTAAAATTATAGCCCCAAGATATCCCATTATGTCCATTCTGCTCTGACTCTAAAGCAGTTTCCTCAGGCATAACATAATCAGAGTCATTTACTCTTGTCTGATCAGCACTACTTCGTCAAATGACGTATAACTTACTTTGAGAAGGTTTGTGTTTTTCTTTTATAAAGAAAAAAAATATGTATGAAGCTATAAATACCTTTATGTAAATTACAAGGAAACATGTAGTAATTAAAGGGCGGGATATCCTTTTATTGTTTAAAAGCTTGGTCTTATTTTGTAAAAAAAAAAAAAAAAAAGAAATTATGGACATTTCCATGATAAGAGCTGTGTGAAATATTCAACAAACAAATAATGTTCTATAGTTTTAAATGCAATGTATATTGAAATAAATTACTTTTTCCTGTTTAAAATGATGACTGAAAACTTCTCTTTATTTAAATTGGATGTTGATTGATCAAACTACTTCTATTATAGCTCAATAGAAAAACATGTCTGTTGTTGGATATCATTTTTATTAAACACTGATGTTTTTAAAAAGTCCAATAGCACTTACTATTTGTCAGCTTTTACTGCTACTCGAGTAGGCTATTTTAGTCTACTCATCAGAAGAGCAATACCCTGCTTTGCTGATTTTCTTATATTTTTATTGAGTTGGAGTGACATGTTATAATTTATTCAAATTGTCCCACAGTTATATAGTAGATGCACTGTTTTTTTTTTAACTGAAATATCAGTTTGTATGCATGTTAGATGTATTCTGTGTCTTCATTGAGTTTTATTTGAAGAAGTTGTCTAATCCTACTACAGTTTAAAAGAAAATGTATCAAAAATTGGGACTTTAGGATGAAATAGATCGGGGTCTTTGCCAGACATCAATGGTCTAACAAAACTATGCAAATGGTTGCATTATGGGAAGTGTAGGACCCAGCTTTTCTAAGCACGAGCCAAACAAGACACTACAGTCAGCATGTCTCAGCCTCTGTTACTTTGATTATGAGGGTTTTTTTTCCATCTCTTAGAAATCCCACAATGTAATGGGAAGGCGATAAAAATTGCTTGAGTAATCCTCTTAGAAATGTATAAGGGTAACTAACCACCACTTCTACATACTCGACGAGCACAGGATAACTCTTGTCCTCATACCTCTTTATATCACAGGTTTAGCTGTCAGTATTGGATTAGATGCAAAAACAAAAACAAACATACAGTAGAAACAACTATTCTTGCTGCATGAGTGAAACAGTTTTGATCGTTGGGAGCGCTGTCATAGGGCCTGATCTAGGCATAAAAGTAACCACTGGATGGCAGCATTTCTTTATAATGTAATGCACTAATGAACCGAACCATACATTTTTAACTCAATTTTGAGTTGATGTTTTCCCAACGTGACTCTAGTGCCAGATTGTAACTTTTTAAAAGTAATGTATAATTAAAAGTAGTAACCCTAACCCTTTGTGACGCCTAAATCCAAAATTACATTTTCCATTGATACGTTTTTTCCTGCAAAACCAAGCAGCAACTTTTTATTTTTGATCAATTCAGTCATATGGAGTTAATGTTGCAGTGATTTTTGTTCAGCCTCCTGCTATAATCGCGACAGCTGTTATCTCTTTTCTCATACATTAAGCTGACAGCGGTGATATAATAGCTGTGTGATGAAGAGGTGTGTGTGTGTGTGTGTGTGTGTGTGTGTGTGTGTGCTGAGAGTTAAAAGAGTTAAATGTGTCCGGACTCTGCTGCCTGTGATTGGTCCACAGCTGCAGCGCTGGGACAGACAACAAGTCTCTGCTCTGTGCGCTCTGGAAAAGTCAATGGGTGGACGAAGCGGAGTATACAGACTGGACTGACTTTTTGACAAATGAGTATATGGGACTTTTATTATTATAAATGGATGAGTCCGGCTCCTCAGCAGTAGTATTACCGTTATTTTCTCTCTGAGTCGAGCGCCCGCTGCTCCGTTAGAGGTCGGTTAAAAGTCGACCGCGTCACTTTTGATTCATGGACTCAACACGGACTGTAGCTTCAAGCATTCATGTCAAGAGGCTCCTACAAGGTTGACTTTCGTTGAATAAAAAGGTATGTTGTTCAAGTATTTTTCTTGAACTCTTTTATATTTTGTGTAAATTTTAACCTTTTTGTGCATGCGTCTCCGACCATCAAGTGAGCAGCATCATTGATAAATACTGTAAAGTGTAGCTAAGATAAAGTATACTGAAACAGACCTTTTTATGGACCATTGGCTAATTTTGGCTGCAGCAATATATAGAAGACATATGAACAACTCTTTTACATAAACGAGCGTTTGTTCAATTTTTAAAACACCCTAAAGTGCAATACCAAAAGAAAAGTCAAAAGACTAACACATCCCAAAACTGAAGTGTTTTATTTTATTGGACCTCATTGTGGGCTAAAATGCCCCTGAAGTTATGTAAAGAAACCCCTGAGGTGAATTAAACGAAACAAACGTCCACAACAAGTAAGTGAAGTGATAACTAAGTTACAATCGTTGTGTACATATATATAATATATAAATGTATAAAATATAGTATTGCATTTAAGTATTGTTTTTCTTTTATTAAAGCATGTGTGATTGGTCAGAATAACAAGGTATTTCTTCTAAATCCTTTAATAGCATCATTTGTCTCAGTGGATATGCCCCTCGTTGTGTATATTCAATATGTTGGCAGATATACTCTGTGTAAGTATGACCATGTGTCTTTCAGATTGAGGGAACATGAAGTTGTCTTTAGACAGTATGGGCATCCTGAAGATTGCGCTGTTGTTCTTTGAGGCTGTTATGCTGACCGACTGTGCACGAGGTGAGAGCTGCTTCATAAACTTTCTTTATTTCCTATATTGCACATTTTATACCTGGATGTAACCCCAGTCTCGCAGCTCATTATAACTCAGCTTGACTGGTTGGTTTCTTGTGAGCATGAAGAAAGTCTCAGTTGGCTCTTTGCAATTTTTTCACACTGAGAAAATAAGAGACGGAAAATTGAGAACTAAAAAAATCTCTAAACAGGGCCCAAAGTCAACATGGGTCAGGGGAATTAGAGTCCAACCCCTAGCCCCAGTTTGTGTGTGTTTCAGTCATGGCAATGTATGTATGCGTGTGTGTGTCTGTGTGTGTGTGTTGGTGCTCACATTCACTCCAGCTAAACCAAACAAACATCATCCATCTTCCCAGAGTGAAAGAACAGTGCAAGAGTCCAGCTCTCCTGCGGCAGACCAAGGGACTAACTCACTTCAGTGTGTGTGTTTGTGATTATGTCCGAACACTGAGTGGAAGTTGGAATCCCTCAGTCTGTGCACAATTTACTGTACCATTTGTTGTGCCAGCATCAATACTTTGCTTTATAAAGATGTCGTACTGTAAGCTTGTCAAGAGGTTGTGGAAAACTTGTCAAAGCAATTTCTATGATTTCATCCACCATAACCGACTGCTTAAGTGTGTCTGATGAAATCCAGGGGGGGCCATGAGTCAAAGACCGAGGAAAAACTGTAAAACTGTCTCTGGGTTAAATGAGACAAATCTGAAAGTCTCTCTTTATCCTCAAGCTCAGCATGGATGTAAATTCAAGAGGCGTCTGATAGGTACAATACCTGCATGTGGCTACAGGGCTGTGGGTGGATTGGGCAGGCTGGCGGCAGTTTAGAGGGTGAGATTAGATCTGTGGGTCTACAGACAATGCTTCATTCAGAATGTGGCGGTTGTGTCTTTATGGCACGACTTCAGCATAAGTAAACAAGACCTTTGGCCAAATAAGACGGGCAATTTTGTGTGTTTACATATTAACAGATGTCAGTGGAGGAGAACCCAAATGGGAATCTGATATGATGATGGAGAGTGGCAGTGTGAATTGTTTTAAAGTCTGACAATAAGATGAATTCACAGCCTTTAAAATGTGTCTGAGAGTGGTTTCAGACGCACAGAGATAAAGAAAGATCAGGGGGCTCACTCAGGCAGGCTGAGTGATATGATTTTGAATGATGTACAATCTGTGAAGTGTGAATATCACATTTTTATTTCAGCAGAAGCAGGGCTACACAGTGGTGTGTGTTATGCTCTAAATGTAACATCTTGATTCTGACATCCTGTGAAATACTGACTGGAGGTTTTGATTTGGAGCATGTGCTTCTGTGGTGGAGCCAAGGCCAGAAAAGTTGTAAAACTGTCCCAGTTAAATTTAACATAGTACAATGACATATTTGATAAATGTAAAATAAATAATAAACGACAGATTTCCTCTGACTAAGTGTGAAACTGTAAAAAAAACACATTGCAAGTGTTACTTTTGACTGACTATTTCAAACAATGGACCTTGGAAGACATTTTGGTGAATGATTTAAAGCCTGTTGCTGTCAGTCATCAGGCACTATCCAACCCTGGACCCCTTTCCGTGTGCCACACACCCTCACACACAGACTTACACACATATACACACAGACAGGGGCAGATCGACCCCTCCTCTTTCTGCTGCTATAACTTTGCGACCGGCCATGCAAGAATTACTTCTTAAGACCCCCCCTGAGAGACCCCAGCACTTCCTCCATCCAAGCCACTCCTTCTTCCTCTGGTGCTCCGCCACCCCCAGCAGCTGGAGGAGGTGCTCAGTGATGTGTCCCAGCAGAGCCTCTAATGTGGTGACAGACCCAGGGACCACTGGGCTCCACTAACAGAGGAATGCAGCCGCCTGGACATATGGATCTGCAGAAATGCGCCCTGGGAGAAACAGAGAGGCACCAGGTGTCTCTGTTTTTAACCAGGACTTAGCTCTCAATGAACACACACACACACACAGATGCACACACACACACACACACACACACACTGAACAGTACCGTTCGGATGCATTCTAATTAGAAACAGGTTTCACATACAGTTGTGTTTCTTTGTGAATGTTTGTGATTGTACTTTAATCCTGTTGGGATTTTTTTTTATTCAATACACATTTGTTTCTCCTTTGGGACAATCTGGTGATTTTTAAAGCATGCAAAAACTGCTCTGCAACCCTTTTGGAAAATTTACATTTTATAGCCGAGTTACATCATGGTTCCATAACAAGAAGGTACTATGAGATGCAATGTATGCCAAGGGCTTTTAAAATCACAAGGCCATTTGGCTACTAAACAGTTTTCCATTTCCTCCAACCATAATGAGGCTAGTTTCTCAGTAACCAAATGCCCCAAAGTCCTCTTATTTTTAAATAGCTGCTGAATAATAAGAAGGTGTAAGTGGTGGGGCCTAGCTGGTGAGACAAGAGAAGAGAGAATTATGCCTAAAGCTGCTGAGTAGCATGTTTTTTTTTTTTTTTTTTCAAATCCAGGTCCAAATCCCATTTTAATGCACCATTTCAGGATCAGAAATTAAAGCAACATAAATTTACTTTTTGTTTTTCACCCCACAAAGAACTTGGAAACTCAAGTTAGTTCAAGTTAATTTGTTATAACTGTGTGTGACTGTTAAATCAGCTCCAGTTTTCTGTTTCCAAACCAGACAACTAACACTGCCTGCCAGTGCAACCCTTAACATACATGCTCGGCTTCTTTCTCCCTACTTTCCTCCCATTAATTACCAGTGTGAAGTTTAAGGAAGTGAGTTAGGTTAATGTGATGTCATTAAAACAAGCCATGAACTATGCAGCCCCTATGTTCTAGGTCTGGGCCCATTTGCCAAGAACAATGAATGGATTAATAAGAACTGCAGTGATAGTCCCTTCAGGTTGGACAGTGCAACAGTAGTTAACTTTAAACACTCCTCATGCCTGTAGAATAGACCTATTTGATGTCTGAGAACGTGGATGGGGGAAATCTTTATAGAAAAGGTGCTGCTGTTTAGACGTGCGTGAGAAGAAGTTACGAGGATGTATGAGCACCACTTTTGTGTGTCTGAATATATGTGTGTTTTATTAAGCAGGCTGAAATTACCCTGAGAAAAGTCATGATAATGAGACATCCAAGGAGTGCAGAGCAATTTGGAAAACCTCAGAGGTGCACCAACAACTTTTCCCGCTCCACCTCTTCTTCTAAGCCAGGTGGAAATAATATTCCTCTCGCTAAACCCTTTAGTTTCTATCACGGAAATAATGTTAGCAGCAGTGTAACAAGCCGTGTTTCTCATCATTCAGCACACATTGCTGACCCTGTGAGCTCCGGAGGAAACACTCCGAGGTAGGAATGTGTCAGACTTCACCCCTCCATGGGGAAAGAAAGGAAAGGGCTGTAGCTGTGATAAGTAGTCATAATGGAGGTCATCTGGTGTTTACTTTAGCAGGGTCATATAATCCTTGTGAGCAACACTCCTTTAATTGACTGACTTTAATGGTCTCTTCAATTAGCATTCATGTGGAATTTCAACAAGGCATTGTCTGCTCTCTGTGTTTGTCCCTCTCAGCTGTATGCTAATGCTCAGATGGACATGAGGAGAATTTTCTTGTTTTTTTATGAATTCATTTTAGAAAATGTAATTATACCAAGGTCTGCGTGTGAACAATGCTCATTAGTTTTGTTTGGGCAGTTGGCTCCGCCAGTGTTTTCAGACCACACACGCTCTTCCTGTTGGCTGAATGGATTTGGATTCAGTTAAATACAATTTCTTTTTGCTGCTGTTAACCTTCACAAACCCCATGGAGCTACTGCTCATGGAGGTGCCAGACTGTCACATTCAGATGATAATCATCTTCAAGCGCTTTCCTGGCATCACTTACAGGATTTACCCGACACATGAATACCACATTTTTTTTTTATTTCACATTTTTTGGATGTTAAATAAGCATCTGATGATACTTAGACTCCTCGATCCAAGCTGATGTGTCACACCCTTGGCCAAGGGGAGAGTGAGCTGATTGACTGGCAGCAAACCTATAAGGTTGGGGGGGGGTGAGTGAGGGTCCACCACGCCGGATCCTTACAAGTGACCTTACCATAACATTTGAGCTCCACAGTGGGAGGTGTTTGTCTTGCGCAACCCCTCTTTCTAAGGCTCCTTCATTTCTCCAGTCTCCCTCTGTTTTCTCTTTTCTTTGAGGAGCCAAATCATGGAGAGAGATGCCCCCTCCTCCTCTTCCATCTCCCCCTTACCATCAGTCTCATGCTGCACAGATGTTTACCCACACATTTTATTAATGAAATGATGAGATTCTGATTGCCCGCCTCTTTTGACCACAAGGACGGAAAGTTAGTTTTGTTTTCCTGTAGATTTGATCTTTTATATTTATGATTTGGAGTCTGCATCCAGCTGCAGGCAGAGGATGCAGAAACTCCCTTTTCAATTTTCCTTCGTCTCCCTTTTTTCGTTCCTCCACAAATGGCTCTTTGTAGCCCTTTTTCTTGGAGTAGAGCCACCATGTGAAAAGCCTACAAAACATCTACCATGAAAACCTTCTGTTGTCTCAAAAAACGAGACAGCAGAAGGCCATGGTGGCCTTCAGGATGAGGCTTGGACTGAGCAGGTTTGGACAAGTTGTACAGTTGTCATTGTGATGTTAGTGAATAAAAGGCTTGTTTAGCTGTAGAAATATAATCTGGATCATCTTACTGGATGTGCTTGCCACAGCCCGCTTGAATCTGTACTGCTGTAGTAGCGTACTGACTTATCAGAATACCTAATCAGGCATCCTGACATGGATGAAATGCTTTCTCTCTTATTTTTTCTACTCCCTTGCTGATAAGTCTTACTTTGTTTTCTTTATGTTTATGATTTTTTATCCTGATATCAAACACCATTTGACATTTTGTTTTTGAAGCTTTCTCTGCCTTTTTTTCTCCAACATCCTGCTGTCCTGGCAAACACTGTTTACACACAGAAACACAACAA